CAGAAGATTGAATACTTTTTTTTTGGACACCACCTTTAATGCCACCACGTATTCACTGTGAAACAGCTGTTAAATGTATAATTAAATTTCTTGTTTTATTTATTTTGTTTTTATAATAAATTCTAAGCATCAGCAAGACAAATTCTTTTTTGTTTTCGTCTTGTCTATATTAAAGACGCAAATAATCATCAGATTTTTTTGCTACGACATGCATCCATTTGTAGGTTTTTTTTTCCAATCTAAAGAAACACAATTGGAATACAATTATTGTACGTTATCCAGCATATTTATTATGATAAATGGATGACATTTCACTATACTCTTAACAGACATTTTTGACTATAAATGTAATTACAAAATGGTCGAAATATCAAAAAATAAGTCAATCTTTAAGTAATATGAATGTTTTTTTTCTAGTATTTTACAGTATATCAAATGAAAAACTGATTAGTATGTCTTGAATTTATATCAATAATGTTTGAAGTTTATTGATTGTATTTTTTACAGTGCTAGATATTTAGTTTGAAGATAATTTTCATAGACGAACTTCTGATTATTGAATTAGTCCTTCGTATTTTCTTTTCTATTTCAGTTCGTTAAGATACGCCTTCATAAGCCTTTGTCTTTTTTTTTCTTTTTTTTTCTTTTTTTTCTACAAACCATAAAAATATCACCCGTAAAAGCTGATTATTTATTTATCGATAAAACAATGAAAAAGAAAAATGTTTATTTACCATTCTATATATAAAGTTATATTTCAAGCTCAACTATCTGCTATTAAGTATAGTAGTGCACTTAAATAACCTTTCAGTCGAATAGACATGATCATAAAATATATGAAACAGAAAACAAATTAGTCATTTATTACATAAATAATGTCTATTATTGATATTCGAGGGAGAGAATATTCTTATACAGAAATCGAGTCAAATAAACAGATAACAACATAACTAAGTATGAATTATTTTATAAAAAAACAAGCAAGGCATTTGTGCTTGGTGGAATTCCATATAAACTTGAAACATGTCTTGTTGTAATGGCATTTTTATGACACAGCTATTAAATCTAATGTTACTTGATTTCAGATAAGAAATGCACTCGATCATAATACTTCAAAACATATTAACTATTATCAATATTTAAGCATGAATCGCAACGTCTGTCAGAATCCCAGAGAAGGAGTCAGTAACAAAAGGACACACCCTTCATGTAGTTTGCTAGAACACTGCTATGTCTGTTTACGATAGATAGTTGATGCAAGTAACTTTCATCTTCACTAGTAATTTTGAGTAGAATTATAATTTCAAATGTATAGAACGTAGAAAAACTATGACTAGATTTCTTAAGGTGAGTTTTGCATATCGAGGGATGTATACTGATATAGCGAGCCCTTTTAAGGATTATTCTTATCTAAAGTTCACGTGTGTCGAATGTTGATTGAAACAACTAAGATAAATTTTAATACTATTGTCAATAAAATATTCATTTAGTCTACACAGAAACTGTCAATATTATCCAACAAGTAGATTATTTTATTATATTTATTTGTGTATATCTCAATAATTAGATAAACTATATCTATCTGGTTTTCATCGAATTACAGCCTATAGTCTTTAGTACACTGCTAAGAAGAAGTCTAAGTCCATCTGTTGACCTGTTTAATTTTAATTGACGATAGAATTGTTGCATGTCGCTTTTCATTCTTTCAAAATTATCTAATTACTTTGTTTTGCAAACTGCTGCATGTCTATTCCAAGTTGAAAATTTTTTCTTTTTATGATACACGATTCAATAGAACAAGCTGTGCGCGATGTAAAAAGTATATTTTATGGTAGCTTTTATTTGACTAGGAGTTTAAAAATATTGTTTTTATGGTCTATATTGGAAATTTTCAATAACAAGGCGACAGACATTTCTTTTTCACATGATGTTTAATCAATTTATTGTACCATATAGCATTAACAAGAGTACTACAAATCTCATGAAATATTTTAATTATGCTAATTGATAATTAATTTTGGAGAATTGTGTTGGCCGTCTTCTATGTTATACATCAAGCATAGATAGACCTTGTACAATCTCATCCATGGATTGAAGAAAGTATAAAAAATTATTTTAACTACATGGATTTGTAAGGAATCTTTATTCGTACAAAATTTTCATAGTTGAAATCAAAACCAATTATAACACCTAAGTCCTATACGTTTGTTATATTGTAAATAGCAGGATTAAAAACTTTACTGTACTCGTCAGCAATAGACTAAATGAAAATCTCATTAAACAGATAGACAATTTTTGCACATCACGCCTATGTAAATAGAGGACGAAATTTACAAGCAGTGTCCTATATTAAGCTTCATTTGATATATCTTTGTTTGGTAAGATACATATCCAGTCTATTGCGGGGATTGCAACAAACGTTTTACTTCTGCTATTTATAACGTAACAAGAATATAGAGCTTAAGAAATATAATTAGTACCAGAACATCTATTTATGATTTGGTCTATCTATAGGAGATGGTCAACACAATTTTTCAACATTAGTTATCAATGATAATAGAATATTTAAGGCAATTTATAGTGTTCTTGCTAATGCTATGTTTGACAATAAATTTGCTAAATATCATATGAAAAAAAACAATATCATTTTTAAACCCATACTCAAATGAAGGCTAGAATAAAAGGTACTTCTTACGTAGAGTGCAGCTTTTTCTATTGAATGACGTATCATAAAGAAAATTTTCAATTTAGAATAGATGTGCACCAGTTTGCAAAAACAAGTGGTTGGATAATATTCAAAATATAAAAAAAACAACATACTACAATTATATCTTCAATAAAAATGAAATAGATTAATCACTTAACCTAAACTTTTGTTTTTACTAGTGTACTAGAGACTATGGATTGTAATCTGATGAAAATCAGATGATTATAGCTCATGTAGTTTTTGAGATGTACACAAATCAAAAACGTATTTTCTAAACAATCAACAATTAACTCATATAGAATATAGTTTCAATAGTTCCTAGTTAGACTTTTTGTTTTTTATTAAATATCATGAAAGTATGAAAACGAAAACAAAACTTTGACAAATTCGATATATTAATATTAAAGAAATCGTGAAAGATTATTCTATTTTTAAAATAATGCAAAAATCAAATTTTATATTCTATCGAACCTTCTACTGAAAAAATAATAGTAACTTGCAAGAGTACGATATCAATTATCTTTTAAATAGAAATAGCTTCATTGATTTGATAAGTTCTATTTTTAATATTTAACTTCAATCAATATTAATTCATTGTCTCTATATTAATAATTTGGGGAAAAAAAAAACAAAAAGTACTTAGTACTTATTTTTATATATAGATTGTATTCTGTTTGTTTATCGAAATAAATACAACGTAGTTTTGATTGCTCCAACGTTAGCTGAAAGTAAAAATGTCGAAATAATAAAGTCGCAAGAAAACAATAGTACAAATGTCGACGGTAGACATATCGATAATAAAAATATCGACAGTAAAAGTACCCCGCAAGTAAAAATATCGACAATTGAAGTGAAGACTTCTAAATATATTCTCATTGGAGAAATTTAAAAAACTCAAGCAGTTAAATTCAAATCAATTGTTGATTACTGAAAAAGATTGAATGAAAGACAAACAAAAAATATTTTGAAATATTAATTTATTGATCTTAAATAATGTTCTTGTTGTACAATCACTAATGTTTCTTTCACTAAAATAAATTACACTTAATTGAGAAAATCAAATGATGTAATGAAATAATTATTATATCGATCATACAATGTACTTATTCGATGTTGCAATGTTCTTATTCATTTGTTTTTCTGCTTCGATGGATCAGAAGACTATTGAAGTATAATATTCTGTATATTTTTTTTGTCTGATTGCATAAAAATGATCAAAGCCCAAATTTTTGAATAATTTCGATAAAGATAAGGATCTATTATATAATAATAATCTAGAATTAGGATGTGTGTTCTCTTTAGTCACATACCTGATAAGTCGATATTGATTGTGCAATCATTGGCATATTTCAAAATAATCTGTTAGAATTTTACTTTTTATTATTATCATTTTTTTTTGGCTATTTTTACTTTCGATCAAAGTTGAGTTTACCATAATTTTATTTACAGTAATATTTGTTCGAATATTTTACAAATTTTTCAGAAAAGTTTAAATTTCGATTTACAACTGGAAAAAAAGAACAGCACAATCTTAGTAAACATTCTTTAAACACTTGTATTTACTTTGATTTTCGTCATTTTGAATGAGTTGAGCGAAAGATGATGTAGAGAAAAACATATTCTGTCAAAGTCTGTTTGATCAATTTGTACAATGCATCTTGCATGTTTTGTTCGATGTCACATTTCTAATCAACATGTATCACTCATGAACATAAGGAAATGTCGTTAATTGTTTAATATCAGATGGTGAAATTATTAGCGACACGCATACAACTACAAATACTTCGAATCTAACATTGTTATAGCTGCTACTTATGAATTCTCTTCTTCAGAAAGATTTTACAATTCATAGTAACGTACTTATGATATTCAATAAGTCTTCATATTCAGCTTTGGATTGTAGCGAAACTATTATCATATTTATCGTTTTCATATTATTACAGATTTCATTGCTTTCCATCAAATAGTATCGATGATTGAATTTCATGGGTTTTAAAGTAAATTTTCTTGTTTATGTAGTAAAGACACATATGTTAATACGATTAAAAACTTCATGATAAAAATATATTTATAACAAAAGATGCTAATTAGAATATTTTCATCGAATTTATTATGATTTAAAAATTTTACATGATATGAGCGTGGTTTTTCTAATTATTTAACATGCAAAACTTGTTTTTTGTTAATAAAATTCATTTTGAAGATGATAAATTGTTTTATTTTTCTTCCTAAGTTGTACAGAAAATTAATAAATGTGTTATGAATAAAATAGTTTTATCTTCGAATTATAAAATTATACTTTGAAGCATTCACTTATTTTACCAGATCGATGTCGACATAAATTTGGAAAGCAGCATGGACGACGTAAAAGACCACAAGGTTCACATGGTGAAAATTTTCGACGAACATTTTCAATCGTTTCATCACTATTATCATCTTCTAAATTAATAAATTGATCATTTTCTTCTTCTTCTATTTGACGAAGTTCCATACGAAATGATTCTTCATCATTGTTATTTATTGCTTCCAAATAGACAATCAAAACAAAAGTAATGAATACTATACATAGAGTCATAGAGTTTTTCATCCTTACGAACAGAAAAGATATCAACAAAATAATTCTTTTGCATCTCATATGCATCTATATATATATATGTATGTATATGGCGTCATATCAATTAGATAGGCTTTACCAATTGATACTATTTCAATAGAAACCATTGAATATCAAAGGTTGTCCTCAGGTACTTAAATATTGCAAATATATTCATGCAGAGAAATATTATTAGACGAAAATAATTTGTCTATACAAAAGATTATATTTGAATAAGAAATGTTCTTACGATTAAAGTATAAAACAACATAACGATTATTATAAGACGCATAAATGTAGAAAACTTGACACTCATCTGTGCAACCATTCGTAGTAATATTGAAGTCGAAAAATTTTCAAAGAAAAGTAAAAAGCAGATATATTCGATATAACTTTCCGTTGATATTAAAGAATATTCTTAAACATGCATAATTCGTTTATATTCATTTAAAGTAAAAGATATGCTTTTGATATATAATGAAATGTTCGAGAACATTTATAAATTTTTCTTATAAGATTAAAGATTAATTTTCTTTTGACATATTTGAATGAACGAATAGTTATTTTCATATGAATGACAAAGGCTATTTAAGCATTACCAACGATGTTGAGAATTTATCAATTCAGAAGAAACTTCTATCAAAACATACTGCTACATTATGGAATTTTTCGAATATGCAAAGTAGAAAAAATATATGCTTTTTACTGATGTGATATTTCAGAGGTAGATGTTGATCAAGAATCCTCCGCATACTTATACACTTTCTATAAGAGCGATTGAGACTACAGGCAAATGTGCTTTGGCTTTGTACTCGTATGCACCAAAGTATCATCACTCGATTGGATAATAGGAATCCGTTCGGTAATAATTGTATGAAGAGACGAAAGCGTGATGGTCCTTGTTGCTTTTCTCATTCCTTGTATTCGTCGTTTTAAGTTCAGGAGTAAAAGTTTTTTTTACATTTTGCATCATTGCTATTATAATCTGTCTGAATGTCATTATCTGGAGTAGGCATACATTTCCAACTGTTGAGAAGTTGCGACATTTGCATACAACTTAGGTGCCTCTGACAGCATTTTATAGATGAGAAAATCAATTTTAATCGAACGTATTTATACTGATGTTATCGGTTGTGAAATTTCAGCCATGTAAAACTATGCCAGAACAGTTATTAAATGATAGATTTGATAAAACCAAAGTTAAATTTTCATTGAAATTATGTGCTATGCAAATATATATATATTCTAAAGAAGTCACTTTGCAAAAGAGATCCATTTTTTAGTGACAAAATTTTCATGTATAGATGAAATAAAAACAATGTCAAACTCTTCTATACTCATGTTAAAACTTTCTCGTGTTTTATATCATTTCGTCCATTAACAAATACCTATTAGCGTGATGCTACATGTTCTCTATTGAGAAACAATTATTTCAACTAAGAGAATAAATTGAATTGTTTATTTTTACTGTTCAGAAGTTTGTATTTAAATCAATGATATACTTCAGAGAAAAAAATCATTGATTTCTACTAGCAAGGTCAGTAATTTCGGCGCCCGAATCCATGAATTTCCGGCAGATTTCCGCCGCGTCCGGTCGAAAAACGCAGGAAAGTGATAGGAAATTGAAAGCAGGAATGCTGTGGTTGGTTCCATCCGATTACGACCGGAACCAGAAAAATTCAATCATCGGATTCCTAATTTCAAGTTCCTACCATTTTCTCCAGTTTTCAGACTAGAAACGATCTCTACTTCTTGACCTGAGTAGTAGATCATCAAACTATTCGAGTAAGCTATTTTACCTTTAATTGTTTAATAATAGCTTGATTTCAAAAAGTTTTTAGATTACTTTGCTCTCATCTTACATTGAATCTATTCATATACAAAGCACAATCGGAATTTGAACATGATAGAAATAGTTAGGATCAGTTTTAATGGAGTATTTACCGTCTATCGATTTTTGTATTTAAATTTAGAAAGTCATGATATAAAACTTTTAGTGTCATTCATAACATCATAAAAAGAAACATGATCTTAGTCCTTGTTGGCCTTAATTGCATCTGATCATCGCATATATTTTAGAAAATGAATGTCTATCTAAGGATAATTTTAGGTTTTTATATTGATGAGTAGTTTTATTTTACCATACTATGTACAATTGACATAATAAACGGCACTTCATTTGATGCCTAGATAAATAAATAAAATCTTATGTAGATTTTCTTATTATCGATTTGTGTTGAATTGAAAGATAAATTCATTACTTTTGTGCGTGAGAAGAATCGATAATGGTATCAAAGGAAAAAAAAACGGATAGTTTCATATATTTACATTTATTGATTAAAAATCAAGTCTTATCAATATACGTATATTAGTGATGAGAGATATCAATTTACAGCATACGATATGTTGCTTTTTTTATCATTGTCATATTCATTGTGAAATCTCATATCGTATACATCATCACTGCATAAGAAATACAACTGTTGAGTGATAGAATGTCCGCATCGCTTGTTTATATCATTTCTCAGTTATTGCTTATATCTGTATAGAAAATAAAAGTAATTGATATTCATTTTTACGACTAAGATTATTTTGATCAGCTTTTAAATCAAAGTGTCCAACGATTTTGTCTGTTTTTTTTCCCAAAAACAAACATTTGCTTGTCACGATATCTGCTTTCATTCATTTCTTTCTTTTATGTATTAATGTGCCTAGACGTTGTGCTCACATGACTTATGCATAAATTATGTTTGATGTTTTCTATCACATTAAATATAAATGATTATTAGACCTTGATTTGTTTGATTGTATCTACAATATATTTTTTAACCTTCATGATTAGAAAAACTATTTATCGAAATAAAAAAAAACATGTAATTTGCTCGTATATTATAACATATCTAACTAGAATGATATTTATTTTTCTTTAGTCAATAGACAAGCAAAAAAGAAGCTACATACTGTTCTAACAGATATGCAAAGAGAAAAGCCTTAGTATCACACACACACACACAGACAGACATACACATTGTATTACGAATTAAACAAAACAAACAAGCTATGCTATGTAAAAAATAAAGAAGAAATATTGCTAAGCAATGATAGTCTTTGTCTCTCTTTGCTATCGCTTAAATTGCATTAAATCGATGAATAAAAATAGTTGAAATTAAAGGTAAAATTGATACAAGTGCGATTGAGAAAGTATGTTTCATAATTGCACCTAGAAAAGAAAAAAATTAGAGAATTTGTTGACTTCAAAAAATAAAAATAACAAGAGATTCAAATAACTAAAAGTAAAGAAGAATTAATTTTCATTTGTTTGCCCCCTTTTTTTTTCATGCATAATTCATTATATATTCATACCACTCTTGATCAGTACATCAGCACTATTAGTTGATTTTTCAATGAATTTTAAAGGTTCTTCTATATTGATAATTCAGTTTAAAAATTTTTTTAAAAAAAACAAAAATTCTAAAAAAATGAGATTAACTAAAAGTCACCTGATGTTTTAAATGGATAAAGTATTTGATTAAGTATTGACATTTGCTTTCCACTTAATGCACTAAGTAAACCAGTTGGTATACTTTTAATTTGTTCAATATTTAAATTTTGTAATTGATCATTAGTAAATGATTTAAAGATTTCTTTTGGTAAACTTGATAATGCTTGTTTTGGAAAAAAATTCAATAACTCTGGTGTTAATGAAACAAGATCAGTTGATTTTAAGCCAGCTTTAAAAAAAAACAAAAATCAATTTATTATTATTTTTTCTTTCTATATTTAAGTTCGTACCAGCAATTGTACCCAATGAACCGAAAATATCTGGTCGAAATACATCACCTTGATATGCATTTTTAACAACATCAAACATTGTTGATGCATAATTAACATTTTCTTCCTTTGGACATTTAATATATGCCAAAATAGTAAGATAAGATCTATTTAATGAGAATAGTAAAATATGTTATTCAAAATATCATATGATTTGATTTACTTGATTTGTTCAGATGGTATAAGACGAAGAATTTTTTCATCAACAGTACATAAAATTTTTCCAGCATTTTCAATAATTAATGGTGTTAAATGTTGTTCTTTACCAAATGCAAGTTGTGATAAAGATTTCAACTAGAAATATAGAATTTTCAATTTGATTTATTTAAATTAAAGTGAAATTTTCTACTTGATCTCCTGTCCAACCATCAAGATTACCAATAGTCGAAAGAAAATTTCCATCACGAAAATGTTCATTTCGTATTTGTAATAATTCACTTGGAGTAAAACCAGGTAAAATTGAATTTAATTTATATAATTCTGGTTGACTTAATGATTGAATATGTCGGCCTTGATTTTGTAATGCCTAAAAAATAGAAGATTAATTATAGAAAAAAAGTTTTTTGTTTGTTCTTTGAAATAATTCTATTCAAACTTGAAGATATTTTTGAGCAATTTGTTGACGTTTATCTGATTCATAATCATTGACTGAACCAAATGTATCAACACATTCATATAGAGTATTATCAGCAATCGATGATATTTCATTAGTTGAAAGAGCAGAAATAGTTGAGCCCATTTGTCGCAATTGTCGACAAGTTAGATTATTATGTCCTAAATTTAATTCGTAAGTTTTTTTTAAAGAATTTTATTGAAAATTTATATATACTTTGTGTTTGACGACGTTCACGACGATTATTATATGATGAATATTGATCAAGAAGTGCATTGGCTAATGTCCGTTTTATACCTTGTTGTGATTTACTTAAAAATTCATCTTGATCTGATATTGTACATTTTTCATCACGACTTTGAATTTTATCAATTGATTTTGAAAGATAATTTGCTCGTTGAGATAATACAAACTAAAATTATTCATTATTATTTGAAATGATATGTTAAATCTTCCAAAAAAACAAAACACAATTTTCAAGAAATTTGATCTATTCGTAAACAAAGAATAGCAATATTAGTATTGATTTCAATAAAACAGAATAAGTTGCAATTAAAGATATACAGGACCACGAGAAAAAAGAAATTTGCCGAGACCGGAACCACGGAAAAGGCAACTAGCTAAGACCGAAACAATAAGAAAAAAAGTTATATCAATCGACACGAAAGACTATAGTTAAATATTCTATGATTTTAAGCGAATTATATTGTAAATCATCAATCAGAACTTAGATCAAGAAAATAAGACTCAAAACAAAGTGCTACTCGTCGTTTAAATAAATCAAAAAATATGTATTGAAGAATTTGTTTTAGATGTGATACAAATAAATTCTGGAATAATTTTCTCTAGACCGGAAACGGAACCAAAAACTTAGTCCCGCGCATCTCTAGTCGAAAGCAAATACAATCTGAATTCACGATTGAGAAACAAAATCTTTCCTTTAACAAAAAAACTTCTTGTAGAAATTCTATACCTTACATATTGTCTATTCTGTATTTATTCATCTTATTATAATATCATAATTTGTTGTTATTGAATGTATCTCAAACGTTTTCAAAGATATATTTTTCTGATAAATTTTAGTATTTCATTTTCATATTTAAACCTACTTTAGGAGCAGCTATATTCATTGGTAGATAAACAGCTAATTCTCCAATAAGATCAAGATATAAAGCTTTAAGATTATCATCAACTTCTCCAAGTGCATCATTAAGTCTAGCACCAAGTGCTTGTGCTTCAGCTTTCGATGGTTGAAAACAAGCTGATTTAAAAAAATTAATTTTATTTATTAATGCATCTGTTGTTATACGACGAATATCACTTGCACGTAAACTCGTCGCTAAAAATGGTCCTAATTGAGATAATTTAAAATTATCGATATCACCTGTTGCTGAACCCTGAAAAAGAAAATGTAAACATAGACAACCAATAACAGCAAAACAAAAAATTTACATAATATTTTAAAGCATAATCAGCTAAACGAAATCGATTTTCATCAACAAATGAACAACAAGTTGGTTCACGAATTGAACCAATTCCATTCCAAAATCGATCAGCTTCATCATGATTTAAACGATTAATAGCATCAAGTTCAGCATTTGTCATTGTTGAAAATAATTGTGGATTAAGATCATCAACAAGATTATCTTCACGAAAAAGACCTTTTATATAACCATCAACTTTTTGTGTTGCTTCACTTGTTTGAAGACCACGACGTAATAAATTACCAAATGCATAACGCTAAAAAATTTTAGTTTAAAAAAACAATCGCGTTTTTGTTTTTTTGTCTTACTGTATTTGATTGCATTTGATTATCAATATTTCTATTTTTTGAACTGCCAAATACTTGTTGTACAGCTTGAAGTGATTCTTCAGGTTTGATTTTTTCAACATCATTTTTTGTTAAACCATTTATAAAATTACTTATCATGCCTAAATCACCAAGACTACCATCAAATTTTTTATCCAAACCTAAACGATTTGTTATAGCAGATGAAGCCTAAACAATTTCAAATAGATAGTTTGTTTTTTCCTAAATGAAAAGTTACTTGAGCTGGTGTAAAACGAATTAAACGAAGAACATCTGGTCCTAATTGAAGAAGATGCATTAAAGTTTCTGATTTAATAAATTTTTTTGCATAATCTGATTCTAATAATTGACGATATTTTGCAAGATTTGGTTCAGTTGCATACTTAAGTAAGAAAATGAGAATTTTTTTTTAAATTTAATATTCATTTTTATTTATTTTTACTTGATCAATAAGAAGACGAATTTTACTTGGTACAAGTTTTCGAATAAATGATGGTGATGTATTATTAAATAATGGTGGTAAATCACCACGACCACGTGTTAAAATTTGTTTAAGTATAGTATTATCAATACCAGGTATTAAGTTACCTAATTTACCAAGCATACCTTTGCCCCAAAGATTTTGAGTTGATCGTGGAATTTTATTTATAATTGTTCTTGCCTAAAATAAATGAAAATTTTCCTCAATAAAATTAAAATAAATAAAATTTTACTTCATTTGGTGTAAGATCTTGTGCACCAATTTTTTCTAAACTTTTTTCATCTCGACCCAATTCAGCCATAATTTCATCACTTAAATCACTTATTTCATCAGGTCTATAAATTGAACCAAATGCATCTAAATACGAAAAAAAAAACATGATTTTTTTCTAATTTAATTTTCGTTTTCTTTTTCTATTTAAATTTTACCTGATACTTCACGTAGTTTATTTACTGTAACACCACGTTCAAGACCATATTCTTTTTTAACTTCATTGACTAAACGTTCACAACTCTTTTTTTTTGTAAAATAAAATCATAAATATTCATTAAATTTTATTATTATCATTTTTTTTCTTACTTCTGGATTTGGATGACTTTTTAATAATTCTTTTAAATCTTGACGACTATTAAATAAATTATTTAAATCACAACCACTATAACATTCTTGCCAGCGTTGAACCAATCTTAGGAAAAAAAAACCATCAAACATTGGAAACAATGAGTTTCTTTTTTTCTTACTGTAGATTTGGTCGCAAATCACGATTAGTTGTTCGTTTTGCTTCTAATGTTCGATTAAGTAATGCAAGAGATGTTGTACATGATTGATCTTCTCGAAGACTTGAACGTTCAAGTAAAGGACTCTTTAGAAAAACAAAATAATAAAAAAAAGTAAATGAAATAAATCAATGAAGAATATTTTACAATTTTATCTCCAACAACATTTATAATTTGTCTTGTAGATAAACTTGGCATCATACGTGCAATCATATCCAATGTACTTGGTTCTTCAGCTGTTAAACGTAATGGACTAGTACCTAGTACTATTTTACCTGCGGTATCTGTTAATGATCGATAGACTTTATTTGAGATAGCATCGCGTTGTAATGGACTAAGTAAATTGAGAAATGTTGCACTGAAACAAAAATAAGAAAAAAAGAATTGAAATGAAAACGATATTCATTTGTTTTTTTTTTTGTTCAACAATACAAACACATTACGAATAACACTATTGTCATTAAATATTGGATTTTTAAGAAGAAAATCTAATGGAAGATAACGAAGAAATGATGCACCTAATTTTTGTGTTATTAATTGTTGAAAATTAGCTGGATTAAGTTTATCTTTAATTTTATCGATATAATTTTGAACAAGAATTGATTTTTGTTCATCACTAAAATCCTAGAATAATGAAATAATAATAATAATATTTATTTTTATTTTTAAATTTTTACTCGTCTATTTGAATTAACATCAAGTACTTTTGAAACTGTCTCTTCATCTGAATATAATAAAAGATTATTTAAATTTGCATCAGCTAAATTTCGAGCAGGAACCCGAAATAATTCTTGGGATAAATCAATTAATTTCAATATTGATTTCCATACTGAATCCTATAATTAAAAAAAAAAGAGATATTATGTAATACTTTTTTCTTCTTCTATTCAAAATCTATATAATAATTGGAATCATTATGAACAAAATTCACATACAATCAATGTGTTTTCTAAGTGAATCATTTTTCGAGAGTAGAGATGATGAGAACTATTTTTCTAAAGTAAATTTTAATTGAATAGTTGTCTTAGCAATAATTCGATCTCGTTTCATTTCCTAATCAGCAACTTCCAAAATTTTTCTATATATCTCGTTATATATTTTTTTATGAAAGGCAGGACATTAAGCCTAGAATAGTTGCCTAGCTAAGGGTGAAGGTGAGAGTAACACTACGGAGCGGAAGAAAGGATGAAAGTGAAGGATAAAACTTCAGAATGATGTTTTTCTTTTGATAAAGCTCAAATATATAATATGCTGTCAATAGATTAATCTAGATAAACCCTATAAATCTCGGTAGACTCTTATCTCGAAGTAGTCAGAGGTGTCTCGAGAGAGACAGAGAATGAGTACTACCCAATCTTGAAATTTTTTTGCTTTCTCCAGCAAAGTTCCAATGTTTTATTGCTTGTCAAAAAAACTGTCCAACCCTTTCCCTCCCCAAAAATTCGATTAACTTTTTTAACAAAAAATTCTAATAGTCCTCCTGAGTCATTCACGTCCTCTCACCAATTCTAGCGACCTCGAAACACTCCTGGAAATAATCAAACTTTTCTTTGATTTACTCTACATGAAACTTTCACTGTCCTCATATTCAAATTTAATTTGATATTGTATAAAGAAAATTGAAGATCAGCAATCACGGTCATTAGTACAACATTGACATTATCAATTCTATGATGTCAAGTGTTAATGTATTCTTCAGAGGTCAATATCGTCATCTGTACAAAGATAGATTATACTTTATCCTTGAAAAGTCTAGAATTTATAAATTTTATTCTGCCTTGAATTAATAAAACAAGAATAACTGATAATCCTCCTATGAATTAAATAAAACAAACTATTTCTTATGAACACGATTATTATACTCCTTACATAAATTTATAATATCTCTTAAAGAGATGAATAATATTCTTTTTTCTTTTTTCTTTTTTTTTTATTTTTTAATAATCGAAAGTATGTCAATGAGAAGCTCTAGAGACACAAGTGTTATCCTTGAAAAGAATATCTATCATGTAGAAATAATTTAGTCAAAAAAAAAAATATATAGTAAATTAATGCATCATCAGTTTATGAATGGATGACTGATTTTTATCATTCAAAAATATCAAGAAAATAATGTGCAATGAACCGATTCAATAGGAAAAAATAATTTCAAATAAAGATCTAATCATTTATAGAAAATGAAAACAGAGAAAAGAATGATCAATAAATAATAAATAGATCAAACCTTCACATAACGATGTATTGGTTGTATTGCAGGAAATAAAGCTTGAGCACTATTAGCATCAAGTGATGTATCTCGTTTAATAGTTTCGGGTATTAATCGAATTGCTTCTTTAAATTTAGAAAAAACTCTATTAAAAAGAAGAAAAACATGAGATATTATAAATAGTATCGATCAACTAACTTCTCAACATTTTCATTTGCAGGTACTAAAAAATAAAAAAAAAACAAATAAAATGTGATTCAATTTTTTGACAAATGAATTTGAATTTAATAATCAGTTATCTGATGAATACTTTTTTTTTTTATCGATTATGATTTCTGTCTCGTTATTTTTCATACTTACTATTTATATCAAGAAAATTTGGTAAACGTTGTTCAATTTGTGTTAAAATATGTTCATCTTGTGGAGTTTTAATAACTTCAGAAAATATATTACGAAAATTGATATCATCTGCATGACCTAGAAAATAATAAAAAGAAAGTTTAGGTCATCGATCTAGATTTTCCTTTTGGTCTCATATAAATAAGATAAGTTATGATGATAGATAATTGGCAAGTGTTAGATATTTTCTATGACAAGGTCATGGTCATGATATAAAATTTCTTTAACTTTAAAATAAACTTACTATAATGTGCTATTATACCAATAATAAAAGCTGTAAAAAATACCCACAATTGTTTCATCGTTTATTTTGTGGTTGTTTTTTTATTTCTGTTAATATATATTGATGTAAAAAGAACAAGAGAAATAAGACGTGTAATAAATATCGTATGCAAGAAAAAAAAATAGATGTACTTGTATCCTTCGCTCAACTGAGTTATAAACGCCAAGATATCGGTTGAGAACACAGAGAGACGAACAAACGACACACAAGCAAAAAAAAAAGTTAATAGATTTGTTGTTATTCTTTTTTTTTTCTACTATTTGTGGCTTATTCATCGGAGTCGATGAGGAGAGACACACAGAGAGAGAGAGAGAGAAAGGGAGAGAGAGAGAAGGGAAGACGACAAATAGTACGTCTCTCTGTGTCGGCTCTCTCATAACTGCAGTTGGCTTTTTTCCTTCCTCTCATTATCGTTTTTTTTCGCTTTTAGATATATTCTGTACCTATTCTTACTTTAGAACGAGACGAAGAGAAGAGAAGAGAAAAAACGGTGACAACATTTACTTCTTGAGTAATAGACGTTAAAGTAACGTAAATATCACTTGTCGACGTAGCTAGTAGGCGTTTTTCGATCCCGATTGTTACATTATTCGCAGAATAGAATATTGTTTGAGAAAGAGAAACTATACTTATCATACCATTAGAAAAAAATAAGAATAGTTACAACACTTCAATCAATTTGTCTGTTCTTTGTTTGTATATGTACATGATCATTTAGCCTGTCGGTATGCGTAAGTGAGAATATATATGTATAAACTATCTCGCATCTATCACGTAGGTACTTTCGATCCATCGTGCTTATTCTTTTAGTTGGCAATACATAAACTAATGAAGCATGATCAAGAGGATCAATAGAGAGTCAATAAAATGTCTTCTTGTGATTTAATGTATGAAAGAATATTTATTTTTGAATCAAATGAAAAAGAAAGTGACAAAAGAAGAATAATAATTATTTGTTAAACAAGATGATGATTGACATTGCGATATTTTAATAAATGATCATAATTCCATTCATCTAAAGTAAAAGTCAAATATATTAAATGTTATAAATAAAGATAAAATTTCTTATTACCATAAGCACGACAACTTCCCATATCATATTCATCACATGATACACGTGCTTGATCGGGTTTTCGTTCTGGTTCATCTGGTTCTGGTGGACGTTTACCAAGTGAATAGAAATTTTCATAATAATACCTTTATAGAGAAAATAAAGGAACATTTAATTAATATTTAATTGATAAATCTTAAAATTTACCATCGTTGTAGAACATATTTTCCTTCTTCATCTTCAACAATATTTGCTGAATGAATACTTTTTTCTTCACATTCTCCATCTTCATTCATATTATTCCATACAATAGCACGACCTTCTTTTGGTTTAATTTTTATTTCGAAATCTTAAAAAGATAAAAAAGGAAAAGTTTTGATTTTTTTTCATTTTTGTATAAAAACAAAAAAAAATGTCTACCTGGAAATTCTGTTTCACCACCTTGCATCACTGTATTTAAATAAGCTAAAAATGTGGCATAACGATCTTGTTTTAATCCATTTAATGTACAATCACGATGAGCTTTATAACCTAATGAAAAATAAAAATAAAAATAAAAAAAAACGAAAATTTCATTGAAAATATTTTTCAATGCATTACTTACCAATGCCTTTTTCTGCTGATGTTATTTGAAATTTTCCACCATGACTTGATTGTAATGCAGTTGCATCTTCAATACGTTGTGATAATACTGTTGAAAATGTACTTTCACCGAGATAAAATGCTGTTGAATATGACCATTTTAAACCCCATTTTTTAAGCATTGATGAAAATGTTGCATTAATACATGTTGTTCCTAGGATTAGAGAATACTTTCAAACTAGAGAAAGTGTGTTTTTATTTCGTTTATACCTTTGGTAAAATCATTTGGTGAAACATAAAATTCATTATGTGGTTTTAAATCTTTTAAATGTTTACGTAATGTTTGAATGCTATCAAAACATATAATTGGATCAATTTTTTTCATTTTTTTAACATGTTCTTTATGAACTTTAATGAGATTTATACATTCATCATGCGAAAGAAATTCTTCAAATAACCAATGTCTAAAAAGCAAAAGATAAAATTGAGATTATATTAAAAAAAAACTATCGACCTAATAAAGAATCATGAGCATAGCAGCATCGATAGGAAAATTTCAATTAAGTTTTTTTTTACTTGACACTACTATCATGCTCTTTGCCAGCATGTATCGAAACAGGTGGTACACGACGATGACCACCATTAGAATTCGGAATAGGTATCCATAATTTTTTTGTTTTTATCATGTCTTACAAAGTAAAAAAATGCATGATAGAAATCATGTTTATTTATCTCTTAATGTAATGTTAACATGTAAGGAAACATACTTATTCTAGATGATTTAAAATTTTTCACTTCATCTGGTATTTCTTTATTTCGTCCGGTAACATCAATTATATTCGGTTGTTGAGTCGTTTTTTTAATTTTAACAGGTTGTGATACTTCTTCTGATTTGTCATCTTTTGTTGTATCACTTTTTTTCGATTGTTTAGATTTTTCTTTAACAATAGGTTTTGCTGTTGTTGTTGTTGTTGTTGATTGAGGAAACTTTATAGTTATTGGCTCATCTTTCAATATTATAAGTTCTTCATCAACAGTTAAATCATTCCTTTCTATTGTTGATTTGGTGGTAGAAGTCGTCGTAGTTTCTGGTTTCTTGGTCGTTACAACAATTGGTGTAGTTGTTGTTGTCAGTACTTGTTCAGGAGCCTTTTCAGTTGTTATTAATACTTGCTCAGGAGCCTTCACAGTAGATGGTTCTTTATAAACTGTTGATATAGTCGGTACACCAAGATGCGAATATAATAAGAGTATTAATGGTTGAAGAGATACAGCGACAATGCCACCAAAAATTGCAACAAGTAATAAAGTCAATGTGTTTGTGCCTGTTTGCACATTTTCTGATTTTCCTTTTGGCATTTTATCTGAAAAAGAATAAACACTGCGTGTTTATATATCTATATTTTTCTAATAAACCTTGAAGATCTATACTCAAAGAAAGACATCAAACTAAATAGTTAAATTTTTTCAATCACCTATTTTGTTTTACTACCAAAAACTTTCGAAAAAAAATCTTGAATAGGTCCAAATAATTTATTTTGTTTTTGTTGTTCTTTATTAGATAATAATTGTTTTTCTAGTGTACCCAAGCGATATTGAAGAATATTTTTCCAATAATAATTTTGACCAAGAAATATCATTGATGCTAAAAATCCATTTATTAATGGATAAGCAAAAAAATGACGACGTGACATTCCTTTAAAAGCATGTTTACGAAAAAAACGTATCCATTCTGGATATGCTTGAATTTGAAATTGTGGTAAACGTATAGTTTTATTTAAAAGACATGTTGAAAGATTAGCTGTTAATGCTAAACTTGTTCCCATTGTTATTGGTATAAAACTTGCTAGTGCAAATGAACGTATTTCAAGACAAGTTGTACATAACATTGGATCATTAGAAAACAATGGTCGAAGTACAAGAAAATAATAACTTGATAAATGTGTTAGAGCAACAACAAGAAAACAAGTAGCACTTGCTGGAAATGTACTTGCAGATAAATGAAGTAATAAATTTTGTGCCATACGACGTGTTATCATGCCTCCTAGATACAAATGAAAAAACGTTTCTTTATGATAGATGATGTTCCATAATCAATTGATGAATGTGCATAAAAGACAAAAAAATTATTGCATAAGAAAATATCTTCCGGACAAAATTTCTTTTTTTTTTCTGTATCAATATTATCAAAATGAAGATTAACACAATATTGTTCCTACTATCATTAATTACATGCTTTACTTGTTTGCCTATAGTACAATCTTTCATTTCTTATCATGTTCTCTTCTTCTAGTCAAATCTTTTCTTTCTCTTGTTCTTTATCTGTATATCTGATGTAATACATATATCAATATGCAAACTTAAACTCCAATGAATGTCACATTCAAAGTGCAAATATAAACTAAAAATGGATTTCGAGTTTAAAGGTTAAGATATAAAAGAGAGATGATTTACATTTATGTAATATGAAATTTATTAGATCAATATACTGAATAAGGAATTTTTATATTCGAGGATTTTTTTTAAAAATATATCTTCATTTTATAGTTGATACAGTCATTCAAGATAGAAAAAGTATTTAGATCAGATTTCGTTTCAACAAATATTCGAATATAATTTAATTCAATTTTAACATAACTTTATTGATTTAAGAGTACACAATTGATGTGACATAATTTATAATGGATAATGTTAACATAGTCAATGTTAATTGCAAATAGACTATTTCATTTTAACTAGTACATAAGGATAAAATTATTCAGTGAAATTCTTCAATCTGCTTTTATTCAAAAATAAATTATTAGGAAAAATTTTTTAATATCAATAAGAAATTAGTGATTTATCTCAAACACATCTATTTATCACTTAGCATCAGTGATCTTACTCAATATCATACAAAACACTAATCATTTGATTCGTTCAGTTCAATTTCACTTATCTCACGGCATGAGCATGATTTAAAAAACTAACGAGAAATTAATTGAAAAAAAAAAAATCTCGACCCCAGATGCATCATAGATAACGACTGAGCATATAGACAGTGAATAACTATTACGAATAGAGCACTACATCATACTCTAAAACCCAACAGCGACTCTGTCTGAGCTCCATCAGTAAAACAGTCAAATATTTTTAGTAAGACATCAAAGAGACGTTCTCATTGTCAAATAATACAAAAAAAGTGACTCAGCAGAGCTCTAAGTACGAATTAGATTGAGCTATATAACACTATTAGTTATTTCTTTTTATTTTAATATCTCTTCTTGCATCATGCATTTACTAGTGTTCGACACACTTTTTAACTTAAATATCTACATGAAATAATGGATGAACCATAATGAAGTCGACTAAAATGTAAATGCAGATTTCCTCTCATTTAAATTCATATAAAATATTCATTAATATACCAAATTATAGAGAATTTTAAGCTTTATCAAGCTAAGAACGTCATTTTTTAAAAGAATATTTTGCTTTTATACCACAATTGAAACATTTATATTTTCTGCATATTACCACAACGACGCTTCGTTACTCATACTTTGAAAAAGTATAGAGGATCTTAAACAAAGAATGATTCATCAAAAGATAAAGAATTTTGGTCTTCTGTTTGGTTTCGTAAACCACAGTGCAATATCTTTTTGTCAAAATGAATGAAAACTAAGCAGACTCCAAATGGATACGAAATTTTGTTTCTTTTCTTCATATACTGTAGCATGAATTTTTACATGCATCTATCATTTAAAGTTTTGAAATATAGCCGAAAAGATAGATAATATCTTCAAGAATATTTTTTTTTATTGTCTTAAAAACCTCATGAATATCTCACTAGCGATGTTGCACTTGTTTTTAGTTCCACAGTACGTATATAAAGTGTATTGATTGCTTCAAAATTAAGAAAAGTTTTTTGTAAGAACTTGAAACAATTCATCTTTTGATATATATATATATATGAATGAATATTTTATATGCATAGTAAATGATTGAACCCTGTGACAATATAGAAATATACAGAACATTGATTTTTCTCTAAGAGATCTCTTTAGAGTTCTAGCAAACTCTGCAACTATGCTTGAGATTGTAGGCTATCTATTGCGTGCATACTATCTGATGAACTAAGTAAAAAGTACATCTTCAAATTAAAGAAAACCATGGTACAAGAATGTTTGCTCTCAAGAAACAGAAGAAAAACCTTTTTTTCGATTTATTCTTCATCTGCTTCGCATATACATATTCATATTGTTATAAACAAAACATAACTGAATAAAGATTTAGAAAAAGAAAGTGTATATTCTCTTAGTTTTTACAATATATAAATTAGATCTTCTCATAAGTATTATAGAATTTGACACACGTCAAAATACATAAGTAAAATATCTGTAAGTATAAGAAGCTATTAGCAAAATCCCAGCAGACGTAGTATTTAAAGCATACTCGAGCTACTATCATTGTAAAAGAGGAAATCCATCACCATATGTTTCGATCTATGAATTATCTTCTACTCTTAATGCCTGTCAACAGTGAAAGATGTTAGCCACAATATATTTCAATCAGTATGAAAGCAAGGTAAAAAATAGCTAACTTAAATTCCGTCGTATTTTATGTTACTGATGCATTAGAGTAATCTTTTCAGATACGCCCATCATAGTTTATGAGGAGAAAATTATCATACTGTAAGATATCTGTCGTAATTCACAACGGAAAAGAGGCACTGCGCTAAGACATCCTCAAGTTCTACGATGAAAAGTAGGAAGAGAGGATGTTACTAAAGTGATTCGTGACGCGTATATTATGTATGTGAGGAGAATGTCAAAGAAGACAACCAAGTGACAAATTCCTTTTTAGCTTTAGCTTTAATTTTCTTAGTAGTATGACATACAATCAAATTGAATAGTATCTCATGTGACAACTCATGAAAGGAGCTTGAAACAGAATATTTGCTTTCTAGTAATAAAGCTTTGTTATTAAGACATTTTATCATAAACCCTAGGAACTTTTTTCTCGTAGATCTTATTTTACAAAAAAAGGATCGATCATCTGCAAAAACTATTTAAAAATAAAAAACAAAGTAGTACATAGGTCTAGAGTCACTACTACCTATGTGTTGTGCTATAGGTTCTAGCGATAATAATTGCATCAAGTATCTTTTATGGAATATAAGAATTTTTCAAAAGAATCTTCGTTTTTTCAGAAAAAATATAAGACGACTCAATCCGTTAGTAATATTTGCTGTTACTTTATATTTACATGTATGATTTCATTTTTCTTGGACTAACCTACAACTCCGCTAGCTACCGATACAATACCATTCCCCATAGTTATTGGCCAATTTTCATGTAAAGGTAATGATTGAATTGTATGTAAACGTCTCCAACCAATAGTATAATATTCTTTTTGATCTAGTAAAACTTGTTCATATGAATAATCTTGAGAATTATTATCTCGTTGATAAACAAATTCATTAATATTTTGATGTGGTCGAATAATTTGTACACGTTTTGGTTCATTCATTTTATTAAATAAAAAAACAAACAAAGAACAAATACAAACAAATGAAAATATCTAAAACAAATATTTAATCATCTTTTTTATTTTCATCAAAATTTTCTTTAGTTAAAAAAGTTTTTTTTTCTTTTAATAATTGTTCAATTTGACTTTTTAATTGTAAAATATTTTTTTCTCTCATACAAGCTTCTAATGCTAAATCAATTGCTTGTTGAAAAGATTTTTGACTTTGTTTTAATACATTTGGACTTAATAAACCAAACCATTTTAATGCATCATCACTATGTTCTTTATCAATTTGTTTTTCAATATTAAATGGTGATGATGATGTCAGAAATATTTTTGTTGAAGCTATCATTGGATCTTTTTCAGAATATTGTAAACGTGAAAGATTATTAACACCCATTATAACACGTGCACGTGATAGATTAAAATATCCTTGTTTTATTGTATCATCAAGTAATTGTTTACATGCAAGTAAATGACCAAATTCTTCAAGATAATCAATTGTTAATTTATCTATTTGTTCGCAGAGAGAATCCATTTGAAATAAAAATTAGTTGTAAGAGATTGTTTTTATTAGTTTAAAAAATAGCCAATCATATGTATTGTCATATGGTTCGTTGTTTTGCTGCTTAGCTTTTTTGTATGTATCATCATGGCATATAAAAACGAAATATAATGTTGCGAAAAATATATCGTCCTATCTGTCTTATGACGATGGGTTTCTAGAAAACGAAATTAAAGAAATATAATAAGCAATTTATCATTATTTCAGCATCTAATAAAAATGCAGCTAGTGTAAGTGACTATTAATTACATTATTTATTCAGTGAGGCTAGATAATTTTCTTATACGTTTTTAGATGATATTAATATGAGAATGAGATTTTTATTTGTTTCATATGTCTAAAATTATTGTGATTTTGTTTACAGATGATTGTTTAGAAGAATTTAATACTAAAAAGTTTCACATATAAAATTTATATTTGTAATAACGTAAATAAAAAGTGATTTTTCTCATTGAATAATAATTTGCATTTTTATTAATAGTTCATTGAGGAGATTAACATTGGATAATAGGTTTTCTATGAGTTATTATTAGTGGATTTGATGAAGAATAATTGAATGACTTGTCACAATCATGTGAATTAAATCTTTATGTTCTGATTCATAATATAAAATAAGATGTAGAATGAATCGTACGAACAATGATAATTTATTTCAATTTAGTAAGAAAAAATTATTAAGAATTATTCTTGCTTTCATAGAAAATCATGAAATTAAAGAAGAAACTAAAAAAAAAAGAATTTCACTAAAGTGTATAGTTCGTATCAAAGAACTTATATTTTAATTTCTTTTAATGTTTCATTTTAGATTATTGAAGGGTTCTTCATGTGAGCATTAATTGAAACTATTTTTTCTCTTTTCATCTTTTTTGCGTGACAATTATGGATAGTGCAGTGAGTCTTCATATAGGTGTGAATTTTATCATTTAATCTTTTCTTATTCTGTTATTCTTTGTATTTCACCGTTGACATGTCCTTATATACTTCGTGATGTTTTAGCTCTTCTCAACATAATTTTCTCTAGTGACTACCTTGTCAGAAGTTCGTTTTCTCGTTTAACAGAGGTCAAATATATTGTTTTTATTTCTTGGTATTTATAACTACTGGTAAAAAAAGTTAATTTACTTATTCTTCATCGTCATTATATATTAGATATGCTGAAAATATTGTTTATTATGACACATAAATAATCAAGATTCGATAGTACACATAAACTGAGTTCAATTGAGTGACGAAAGTTTTAAAGCAATGAATTTTTAAAGAGTATGATGCCGACATACAGAATTTATCTGTATGCACCAATGTGCGTTTAGGGAAATTCTGAAAAATTATTTAGCTGTAGGAAAAATGTTTCATTGGGGAATTTGAATAGAGAAATGTTGCTCCTACAGGAATAATAGCATAAGCATCGTACATATGTTCTTTGATTTATTTATTAATAGCAAGTATCGAAAAAGGTTGTTCTTTCATTTAAGTATACAATGTAATTACGTTTTGCAATTGAGAACTGTTTCTATTAATTGACGATTAATAAAGATTAGTTTTTTCATATGACATTTTTTGCGCATTACATAAGTTTGATTTCTCGTTTGCCTTTTTTTCGAATGCACGAGTAAATATGTGAAGCTGGCTTTTTCTTTATTTTGATAGTAGGGAAATTTTTTTATTCTAGAGGTGCAGATTCTGCAACTCTGGTATGAATCATATGAATTATCATCAATTAGGAAACTTATTTTCGTGTCTCTTTCTTTTTACTAATTGAAAGCTTTTATAAACTTTTCAAATGCTTGTGGATCGACACTCTATGCATTTTGTAAATGCAAATGAGCTACGAATACAATAGACTACTTTCATTAAGATCTGCTGCTATGCAAAGTATTAATGCAGTATCACCGTAGTAATAAGTTAAGAACACGAGCTCTTTTCAGGATGTTCATAGCTCATTCAAGTCTAAATAAAGCACCGAGTCTGAGTCAAAAGCGATAGAAAACCCATAAGATTTTCTTTGTGTTTCCATTCATAAAACAAAATACTTAATGAATACTTCATATTCGTTATAATAAGGCTAAGAAATAAAAAGAATAAGAACAGTCGATCAATTACTAAAAAATGTCATAGTTCATAGCTGAACGATGAATACTAATTGACTCATACATATTTATTTTTATAATGAAACTTTGTAGCTTTCATTGTCTCCATTCAAACCTAATCTAAAATAGTTCTCAATCGTACGATATATTTTAATGGAATAAAAAAACAAATTCGATCAAGATTGTTTATTTTGTTGCAAAAAATAAGAATCCTATGGTTGAGTGCAACATTCAATTAAATCGAAAGGCATTTACAAACGTACTAAGCTCTAATACCATTAAGCAAAGTCAATGAAGCATTAGTCCGGTAAATTCAGGTTTTTCAATGTAAACAAAATTATTCATGTAGAGTAAAGAAAGAATAATCAAGTGTTGTCTGTCTTATTCTTTATCAGTAACTATTCTTAGTTTGATATTTATTTTTACGAATCTTTTCAACACTTGGTTAAATAAGAAAGAATACTTATTATTAATTAGACATAAGTATTTGCGTGATTTTATTTGAAATCAGGAACATATTGACAATGTAAACTGTTGATGAGTCTACCAATCAATTATAGTTGAAAAAATACATTCTTGTTTTTTCTTTATGTATGTCAAGAAAACAAAGGGATGCCAACAACAAACGAGACTAAATGCTTTATTTTGCATTTCTTACGACTAAAGATATTTATTTTTTGTCTATTTTTAGGAGCTAAAAGAAGTAATTGTTGTCATCGAATAACAATTGTCCACAGAAGATAAATTGACACTTTATTTGCATATTCCTCTTTTTTTTTGTTTTTTGTTAACTATTTATACATTTTTTATCTCTCTCTCGTTGTTACTTATCATTGTATTTTTTGATTTGAAACTTGATGAATTTGGTATCATGAATGAAAATTTTTGTTTTCGTTTAATTCATCTAGACAACATCTATCATAATCAAGGAGAAGAAGAAGGAGAAAAAAACAAAAGGTTATTAACAAATATGACTGAACCTTCTATTATTCCTGCAAGTGAACAACATACAGCTACTGTAAATATTTGATTTAACATTTTTTGTTGTCAAAATGTGATATGTATTCTTTTTTTAGATTATCTTCTTACATGGTTTAGATGATGTTGGGTATATGATTGAAGATTTCTATTATATATTTAAAATTAAAAATTGCTTTTTAGTAAAACTTGGTTAGATGAATTTAATATGTTTGAGATATCGAAAAGAATTCGACATGTAAAATATATTTTTCCAACAGCGTAAATAAAGCATATTGGAAATCGTTTATTAAGAAGTCTATATTTCGATTTATTACTTAGTTCAATTATAAAAATATCGAAAAATAATGGAACACCAATGACTAGTTGTAAGTAATTGTATAATGTATATTAATTTAAATTAATGCTTGAATTAGGGTTTGATGTATATGGTTTTGATGAAAATGCTAAAGAAGATCAAGAAGGTATTGAAAAAGCATCGCAACTTTGTAAGATTATTTTGTTACTGATGCTGTTATAGTGTCATTTATTTTCTTATGTTTAGTAAATAGTCTTGTTGAAGAAGAAATTAAAAATGGAATTCCACCAGAACGTATAGTGAGTAAAGAAAGATTTATTTTATTAGTTATTTTTTTACTATATGATGATTTATTCTAGATGATTGGAGGATTTTCAATGTGAGAATTAATTTTGACGTCTTGACATTCTTTTTATTTATTTCGTTTGATAATTAGGGGTGGTGCTGTAGCTCTTCATACAGGTATGAAATTTATTATTCAAGTCAATAATCGTCAAAAATATGAAAATTGAGATAAAGATATGAAAAGATAGGTCTCAGCTGATCTCTTTCAAAAATGATATGATTTTTTTATTTAGTTTCGAAAACTATCCGTCATTTTCTGTTTGAAAAACATAGTTTTTTTTTTTTAAATAAAGAAGAAAATCTTTTTCCTTGTTAGTATTTTGTTGATCATGCATCTCAGAATACTTGAAGGAGCATAATTGTAGTCAATTGTGTTTTATTTTTATTCGAAAAAGCATGTCACGATGTAGAACATGACAAAGTCCCTTTTTTTTTTAATCAACCTTTATTATTATTATTATTATATGAAAGAGTATTTTTATAATTAGAGCACCATTTTTTTTTGACAGATCGAACCTTATCTTCCGTTGAAAAGTAAGAAATTTTTAAAAAAAGTCAGCACTCTGTCAGGCCTTGCATGCTGACATGCTCTTTCAAACAAAACACGAACTGTGAGAATATAGAATGAACATTCACAGACAATCTCAGATTATCAAACGAATCATTTTGGATTCTTTTTTATTGAATATCTCACGAAAACGTCATAATATAAAGCTGAAAATTTTATGCTATTTGAATATACTTAGTCCAAGATTGATTTTCGAGGAGTGGGAGCTTTAGTCTTTTCTTATATTTATTTATTGCTTTTTTTTGTTTAGCATTAGTATCTCCTCATACACTTGGTGGTGTTTTAGCTCTCTCAACATGGCTTCCTCTATTGACTACTTTTCCTAAAGTCAGTTTTATTGTTTAACAAAAGCCAAACATATCGATTTTGCTTTCAGGCACTTGTAGCTGGTGATAAAAAAGTTAATTTACCTATTCTTCAATGTCATGGTATATTACATATAGGAAATAATATATTGAAAATATTGTTCATTATGATATATAGGTAATAAAGATTTGATTATACAAATTAATCGGGCTCGATTATGTGAAGAAAGTTTTAAAGCAATGGGTTTTAAAGAATATATTTTTAAAGAGTATGATGGTATGGATCATACAAATTGTAATCAAGTAAGAATTTTATTTTCCCATTAATCAAACTATTATTTTGTTGAATGTTGTCTTAATCTGAGTAATTCTATTTTTAAAATTCATAGATAAAGAATATCTAGAAAGTCAACTTATTTTCTATTCTGATTTTGCTGATATGTAATTAAATTTGAATCGAACCTATATATACGAGAACCGTAGCTTCCAAATTGCGACCGAAAATTAAGCCAATTAAGAAAAAAGTGGTCGCAATTCGGAATGAATCATTTTACGCTGATCTCATTTTTTATTCGATTCCAAATTGTGACCATTTTTTAAATTATCAATCAGTTAACACTTTTGATTGAAAAAAATTTATTGAAAAAACGACGACAGAAAAAAAATTATTCTTCATCACTACTATCTTTAGTATCTTTTATAATGTAGATATAAAATACATATCTTCAGGAATTATAATCGATGATAATGATAGTGGTGTTGGAGGTAATATTGTTTTACGAATAGAGTACAACGTTGATTTCCACGTCTGAAAGACTGGAACAGGGCCAGCTGTTCCATTTTCACGACGCTAAACAATAAACTCAATGATCTANTAACACATGGTTCGAATCCATTTTTCGGCACAATGATTATCTTTTTTTAAATTCGAATATGTACTATTTTTTCAGTTAATTACAAATAGTAGCACCTATTCTTGGAGTTCAAGACAGTGGATCTTAAGATCTAGCTGTCTCGAGACCATTTGATCTCTAACAGACTACTTCGAGGCAGTCCATTCTCGGTCATTTGGCGATCCTTTGATATGTTCTCCAAAAATAAATGATCGAGAAATAATCTAGAAAAAAAAAGGCATACGAAAATGTATAAGTGAAATACGTCCAATAGGCCCGATTATATGCAGCTGCACTCGCGAAAGGGTGTGGGTGTGGGTGTGGATGTGGTTCTTCGCTTTGCTTACACACACATCTGCCACACACACACCCTCCTTATTCCCACTGTTTGAAAAAGCAATATGCGATCTTTTTTTCCAAAATTTAGTTTAAAATGAAAACAACCAGACTTTGATGAAGAGAAGTTGATAAGGATAAAAAAGTTGAAGTAGCTTGCGTAGTTTTCAAGGTTACCTATGAGTATAATTCTCAGATGTCCATGTCATAAATTCCAAAAACTACAAAAGAATATTTTCTTTCAGAAACTAGAAAATACATTGTTAGATCAATTAGGCGCAAACAAATTCATCGCGCAAAAGCAAAAGAAAAAAATAATAAAATTGAAAGAAGTGCTTCTTTTTTGGCTTCTTATTCAATGCAACGCATGATTCAATCTTCGGAATAAGGAACAATCTTCGATCACTACAATAAAACGTAGAATTGAACTGAAAATGAATTGAATTTTCAGGAAAAATCTACGAAATAAAATAAACCAAAAATTGTAACACTTAAAATTCAGTTTGTTGATATGGAATTTCGATATAGAGTAATACTAAAAAGATTCTCGTCATCTGATTTTTAGCAATTGATGGTGCTCATTTTGCATTAGTGCGTGTCTCGAAGTTTGAACTAAAAAAAAAGAAAGTGTAGACCGGAAAATTTTGTCGAATATTCTACTTAAGGCTTAGCTTTATTTACATTTCAGATGTGAAAATTCTGGCTTTCCCTATACTCTATTAGCTGAGATGTTAGTCTAGTAAAGAGCCCAAAACTGGTAAAACCAGTTTTTTCGTTTGTTTAATTTCTTCCCTAGACTTTAGCACTTCATAAAGCCCCCGACACATTAGAAGACCCGGGGTCTTCTATTCTGTCTTATCGTTCACAAGTTAAAAGGGGGGTCTTCTATTATGTCCCTAAAAAAAGTCATATTTTTAGGCAGTTTCGCCAAGAAATCTTGCTTTCACTTAATTTTTGTCCCATATATCGTTCACAAATGAGTTTGTTTTACTCATTCCACTTGTCAAGGGGGAAAAAGCGCGACTCCACCGATATTCCAATGGTACTCCATACGTACTTACTGGTACTCCACGGTACTCCACTGATATTTCACTGAAACTCTAAATTTTTTTTTGTGTGTACTCCGCTGGTACTCCAACTATTTTTTGGAGTATCAGTGAAGTACCGTGGAGTACTAGTGGAGTACCATTGGAGTATGCACTCCTGGAGTCGCGCTTTTCCCCCCTTGCCACTTGTGCAAGATACAAAAAAGGAACATATATTATCTCATGAGAAAAGGGAGACTATGGTACATAAGAAGTACTCTTAGGAGAACACAGTCATTGTATCCCAACATTTTGGTACGATATCCTGTTAGCGTTCTTTTTTTTAAGGGTAAGACCTATCACAGACAATATTTTATCTTCTCAATAACTAAATAAGTGTAAAAAAGAAAATTATTTTTTGTTTATCAAAATCATTTAATTGAGTTGCTTATGTGAAAGTTTGATTAACCTATTGACTCCTCCACAGAATACAGATCCAGGGGGTGCTCCTGTTCCGCAAGCTATAGCTTTGCAATGAAGCATGTGCCGATGAGAGTCTTTGTGTTATTTGATAAAAAAATGTTTATCCTTTCATTGTTTATCGGTTTTAGTTCATTTTTCATAAAGTGAACCTCGATTGTCAACGAAGAATTCTAACTCACCTGGTGGGCTTCTATTCTGTGAGGGAAGAAGTTTAGTATAAATAGAATTCGTTTACAGTGAATTCTGCTTCCAGCGTAGTTACTAATCTCAAACTAACTTCGATCAATATAATTGTCTTATTAAAAACTATTTATAGAAAATCAGTGGTTGAATATACAGTCCATGTTTTCTTTTGTGTCTGTCTGGAAAATGCCTTTGGAACTTATTGAGAAAAGAAACAGGTTCGCAAACTCTAAAGAAGTATTCATGTATAAAATCATGACGTACATACATCAAATTATATTTTCTTTTGTTATGAAAAACTTTTTTGTAGTTCAAGCACTTCACATTTTGTGGAAGAAAGTCGAAGATGAAGAGGTCTTGGTAGTAATACACATCAATATTTTAGCTAATCTTTTACTAATGTGCAAAGATCTCTTCGTGTGTTATACGCGCGAAAATGTACCGTACTCATTAGATCCTTTTTTCATGAAAGCGTATTTTTGTGCGTAGACACTGAAGAATATTTGTAGAGTAAGCTGCAAAGGACTGCTAAAATGACTTCACGAGATGTTATTAACAAAGAAACAAAATCTTAAATGGGTAGGTCTTTCCTATAAACTACTTCGCAAGATTTCGCTCCCTCATATTTGACACTTTGTTATAAAAATGAAAGGAAAATAGTTGTCGTATTGAATTTACACATAATTATGAACTTAAATACTAAAACAGTGAATAAAATTCAGAGCCTATTTTAAAATATCGGTTTTCTAAGTGGGGGGTGGTGGTCTTCTATTGTGTCGGGGGTTTACGCAATTCAATTTCAATATAATTCTATGCTTTATTATTGACATAGACGCTTATTTATTATTTCAATGGTTGACTTGTGAGTTGCATTGAATAAGAAGCCAAAAGGAAGCGCTTCTTTCGATTTAATTTTTTTTCTTTTTGCTTTATACAGCAAATAAACTGAGATTGAAGTGACCGGCAACGAATCATCTGTGTGGTGGATTTCTGATTGATTGTCAAAGAATCTCATCACAGTACGCTAATGTTCAAGCTCGTTTGACGTCGTTGAGTTTAATCACAATATTTGCATGGAGAAACAAAATACTTGCATATCTCAATTGAAAGAAAGTTCCATTGATTCTACCCTACTATTGAAAACTATTTGTGAATATCTATTCTCGATTTCAGCTTTAAATTGAAAAAACCATAGACTGATTTGGCTCCTTACTATTCAAATATACTACCATATGATTTCAGTTATCACTTGCAGGTCTCCTACAGCAAGTCACACAGGATTAAAAGACCAGTGATTTGAGGTTATACGAAGCGTACGATTTTTCTTTGCGTGTTGCATACAGAAGTAAAAATATCTGAGTATTGTTAGTGAGATTTCAAGAGAAGGGGGAGTGAATAATATTTTCAATTCACTCTCGCTTGCGCAGTAATTTTATGTATATGAAATTCATGACTTTGTTTTAGATGTAAAAAAATAAAAATTTCTTAATTTAATTTTTTTCGTTAGAAAATTTATTTGATGAAATCTGAGTGCCTCATATCGACATACAAGAAGGCTTTGTATAGCATACATCTCCTCATTCTGAAGAAACCTACAACATATATACTTTTCTACTGATTCTTTTTCTCCTGTCTGCAATATATAATACGATGCATCAGTGAAGTGAAATACAAACGCTCATTTTCTTGTCGAACACAATCGCACACAACAATCAAGATCAAGTCGATAAACCTAGCAAACAGAGGGTAATCATTCTTATCCGGTATTGTTAACTATACTTGCAGATCCACATAATATTCCGTTTTATCCTCTGCTATCGGTACCATCTGTTGGTAAAGTTTCTCATCAAGTGCGTAATTCACCATTGCAATTTTTGTCTCTATTCTTACGAGTCATTCCATCTAGTATCATCATTCATTGACAAAAGATATGCAATCTCGTTTTGTTATTCATGTAACCACCCGATCACCAAAAAATAATATCCATCCGACGAACAATCAGTCTGCCAATCCTCAAGACATTTTGTTCCCGGTTATATTCTTAAAATCTTTGATTATTCATATTTTCTCTTTATGTCAATAGATGTCAACTATTTTGGCTGCGCGTTATCATCAAGATAAACGCCGGGCTGCCGTGATGGGGGGGGGGGGGGGGGGGGAAGAGGAGGAGAGCCGCCAAACCTCGACTTAAAACTTACACTCACTATTTTCTCCGAAAATATAAGTGAATGCCACAAAATTTCTACTTGGTTCTTTGATTTCATCATAATTTAATAATTCAGCTTGACTTTTGTATGCTTCAGGTATATGATATGATCCACGAAATTCTGGATATTTGTATAATAAACTAATGAGAATATAAAACATCTGTTCTTTTTTTTTTCTTTTTTTTTCAAATATAACTCACTAAGCAAACGTTTTTATTCCCAATTTATCATTTTTTTTTTTTACATCAGGCCATGTTTGCTTTATTTGTTGAGCAACAACATCAAAATTGGGAGCATTCGCATTTGATGGTGTTGTCGTCGATGTTGAAGTTGAGCCTTCACAACCTATTGTTACTGTAAATATGAAGTATACTTTATCTTAGTTTTGTAAGTACCATAAAAAGATAGGAAAAGAAATTTTATAATCTTGAATTGTAATTGATTAGATTGATATGTATGTATGTTTTAAGAGTGATCATATAGTTTTATTCAGGACAAAGATTTCTTTGTTTTTTTTTCAAGCTAAAATAGTCTATAAGTATAGATATTCGGAATTATAGATTTATTTCATACTCGAATAGTCGACTGAAAAAATTATTTAGTTAGAAAAAAGAAAACAATAATAGAATTTCTTTTTTCTTTATTAGTTGTTTAACCACAGAAGACATAATAATACTTTATGACTGTACTCGATTAAGAGAAAAGTCTCTGCAACAAAATTATGATTTACAACAAGATAGAATTTTGAAACCATGATTGTCAATAAAAAAAAAGGTTTGTTAGTACAATCCTTATGGGATTAAAATTTGAACTGTTTCTTTGCTTGATCCCATTTATTTTGGTATAAATTGATTTATCCATGTAAGAATGTAATAAACAAGTAATTCATATAGTCTCCGAAAGCTGTCTGCAACGCACAGGTCCGAATTTCTATCTCTATACAGTTTGACACTCTTATGAGAATTCTATACTGTTTTAGATGTCAACAAAAGAACTTTGTATACATTTAACAGAACTTCATGCAAAATCGTTATTGAATGATAATGATACGTTTTTGTTTGATTGTGATGGTGTTCTTTGGAATTTTCCTCATATCTTGACAGGTGCAGTTGAATTATTAAATTATTTGACAGAACAAGTATGAAAATAATTTTTTTTCTTTGAAAATAATTTGAATTTTTTTTTCTTTATAAAGGGTAAACGATTATTTTTTGTGACAAATAATTCAACGACAACACAAGATGATTATGCAAAACGTTTCAATGATATTGGTTATAAAGCTAAACCTGTAAGATGATTTTTAAAAATATATAAATATGAAATATCTATTTGTTTGATTAGGAACAAATTATTTGTACGGCATGGCTTACTGCTCAACATTTAAAATCAATTAATTTTAAAGGAAAATGTTATGTACTTGGAATGCAATCAATGAAACATGAATTAGAACGAGAAGGTTTTCAAATTTGTGGTGGTATTGGTGTAAGTATTCAAATTAATAATAATAAGAAAAGTTATTTTTCTTTTATGATTTAGCCTGATCCTTTACCTTCCGATAGCAATACAGTCACAGTAAATAAACTTGAATTAGAAAAAGATGTTTGTATTTATTAAGCTTAATGTTCATTTTGATATTTTGTTCTTCATTATATATATATATATATGAATGTATAGGTTGATTGTGTGATATCAGCTTTTGACTTACATATAAGCTATATTAAAATTCTTAAAGCAGCAACTTATCTTAATCGACCAAACGTCTTGTTTATAGCAACGAATGATGATGCAAGTCATCCACAAAGTGATGAAACAGTTAAGCCCGGTAATTATTATGCAATATAAAATATTATAAATTTAATTAGTGAGTTTTAGGTGCGGGTTCAATTTTGGCTTCTGTTGCAATAGCTTCATGTCGTTCACCTACAATACTTGGTAAACCGCATGCACCAATGTTTGATGCTATTCGTTTAGCATTTCCAGATGTTGATCCTAAACGAACAGTAATGATTGGTGATCAGTATGATTTAAACTATCAACATAAACATTTTGTTTATCATTCATTTTTAGAGTTGAAACTGATATTGCTTTTGGTAATCGACAAGGTACAACAACATTACTTGTATTTAGTAGAGCAACAAGGGAGAAATATTTGGATACTCTTAAACAAAAAGTAGAAAAACATACAGCTGAACGAGATCTTTTACCTCATTTTTGTGTCAAAGATGTCGAACAATTTTTACAATTTCTTAAATCAAATGAAAGCAATACATTATTATAAGCTTTCTTTTATTTGATATTTACCAGCATACGTTAAAAATAATAACAAAGAAGAATAATCCATGGATAGTTTTATTTTCTCGTTTCTTGTTATTTGCTTTTCAAAGCTAATAAATTTTCATGAATACAATTGATTTTCTTTTGATTTCGCAAAAAAGAGATTTCATTTATTCTTGAGAAGCTAGCAGGATCTGTGTATTTAACGGAAATGTTTTAGGTATAAATATATTTCAGCACACCAATACTTTGGATATCTTGAGAAACTATAGAGAAATTATTGGAAAGTTCTAACAAAACTCGATAAAATTAATAATTCCTGATAGAGTCTGCTGATATTTACATTTCTAGAAAATTATACATGACTCTTCGATATATTTCGAATATGCCAAAAGATGAATGAGTCTACAAAAATCGTGCTTTCTACGGAGATAATGATCAGAGTTGATAGGGTGGTTTAATATGAGCCGATTATCATGTCGAAACTAGGGGTGGCACTTTAACTTTAAACTTTACAGGTTAAAGTATTTAAAGTATGAAGTTCCACTTTAAACTTTCAAAGTTAAAGTTAAAGTTTAAACTAATGTCGGCGCCAGAAGTAGATGGAGAAAACTTAAGGAGGAATATCTCCTGAACGGATGTAGCTAGCGACCTGCGATTTTCACCATTAGAAAGAAAACGCCCAGGGGCATCCACACATGGTAAAATATAATTGGACAGCAATAGAACAATCAGATGCATTCTCGATGGAAATGTTGAGCACGGTATTCTGGAGCTGTTTCTCAACTTCNAAGCTGATCCCGATAGAGTGATGGTACACATTGCTTTTCTTTCTGCAATACTTCTCGTTGATACAAGACTTCATTGATTAATTATGGATAAATCATGTAGACTAGCTAGAAACCATCGAACAGCAAAACTATATATATGCTGGGATTTCATGATAGAATTCTTGTGTTTTGTATAGGAAATTCTATAACCATTTTATTGATTAAATGACCTGATAAACTTCTATATAGATGTAATAATCGTAATGCACGTTATTAGAGTAAAGCTATATATATGGTTATGGTTATATAGGTTAAGTTGATGACTATCTTCCTGAGAGAAGTTCAATAAGAGCATTACCGAATGATGATATTATTGATAAGACTGTCAATTATTTCCTATTTTTCATACACATCTTCATTTACTTCTACTAATTATGTGTAAACACGCGTAGAACCAATAAAATAAGAAAATTTATATTTAACTGTGATCATTCAGGTTTTATTTCTATTGAATGTTTTTATAGCATCTATAGAATATTTACTAACATATTCGAACTCCTTCGAGATTAATTTTTAGATTTTTTTTTCTGCTAAACTATCATATATATAGGAATGCACGGTTCCGGTTTTTACCGGTTCCAAAGAACCGGAACCGGTGGAACTGATTGAAACTGAAACCGGAACCGATTAGAACCGATAAGAACCGAAACCGAAACCGATAAGAACCGATTGGAACCGAAACCGGAACCGGTTGAAACCGATAAGAACCGGAACCGAAACCGGAATCGACTGGAACCGGTCAGAACCGATTGGAACCGAGACCGGAATCGGTCAGAACTAGGGATGTAACGGCGACGAAAACCGGAGGTACAGTTATTGGTTGAAATCGGTTGTCAAGAAAAACAGCATTTTTTAAGAAAATAATGATATTTTATAAAGGTTGGCGAAAGTAAATCCGGGTCGGAGAATCCGAATCTGAAGTCAGTTGTTCAAAATTCCAAAATGAATTTTTTCGTGAAAAGAAAGTTTTTTTTTAGAAAAATAATGATATTTTATAATGGTTGACGAAAGTAAATCGAGGTCGGAGAATCCGAATCTGAGATCAAATCCTTGAGATTTTCAATTTTCTCTTCCATAGACTAAACCGCTCCTTGGAAGTCATCTTTTTTTTCTGGAAAACTTTATTCTTGAAAAATATTCTGTGTGAAAAACTAAAACTAAAAATTGTCAAAAGCCGACTTCAGATTCGGATTCTCCGACCCGGATTTACTTTCGTCAACCCTTTATAAAATATCGTTATTTTTCTAAAAAAGCTTTTCTTTTCACAAAAAATTCATTTCGAAATTTTGAAAAACTGACTTCAGATTCGGATTCTCCGACCTCGATTTATTTTCGTCAACCTTTATAAAATATCATTATTTTCTTAAAAAATGCTGTTTTTCTTGACAACCGATTTCAACCAATAACTGTACCTCCGGTTATCGTCACCGTTACATCCCTAGTTCTGACCGATTCCGGTTTCGGTTCCAATCGGTTCTTATCGGTTTCGGTTTCGGTTCTTATCGGTTTCGGTTTCGGTTCTAATCGGTTCCGGTTTCGGTTCCAATCGGTTCCACCGGTTTCGGTTCCAGAACCGGAACCGGTGCATCCCTACATATATATATCTAATATAAATTATCTTTATTTATTTGATAAGAAAAACGTGAGATAAATTAAAAGAAAAGAAAAGCATATTAATCTATATATAAACTAGATTTAAATCTATTACTTTTTTTCTATATTTATTTAATTCTTCTATTACAATCTAGACTATTTATTTTAATCATCTGTATGACGTTCAAGGAAATTTTATCTAAAACATCTACGAAAATATTTATTAGATAAATTCTCTGAATTTGATCAATGTTTAAATGACGTAAATAAATTGCACAGATATATAGATGAAGGCATTTATTCATATTTTAATCAAACTCACAAATTATTTGAATTTATTCTTCAACAACGACATGTTATTCGATTAGATTTTCTTGCAAATACTATCAGAGTTATAAAGACAGGATTATTTTTTCGTTTTTGTTCAATAAAACGTATAAGTTAGAAAAAAAATCTTTCTTTTGATTGACCTAGACGTTGATTTTACTTTAAATTTGAACATACGTTTCGATAAACTTTTCTATAGTAGTATTGAATATTCTACGTTGATTGAAATATTAATTTTAATTTATATTAATCTAGTCTAAGATGAAAGATTGACCTTAACCTTATAAATAATGTGCATCTAATCCTTCTATAATCTCTTAAAATAAATCGAAAAGAAAAAATTTATTCGAAAACCGGTATTCAAAATATCAAAGGAATGCGCCATTCAATGACACAGTTGAAAAGAATTTTTAAAAACTTATACTAATATTTTCTATTTGTGTGTCTACAGTTTGGTTCGTGATTAAATTAATTTCTGTTTCCTCATTTTTCTTATCAGATTGATTTGTGGAATGAATTGAAGGTAAATATCAAAACCATAATTTTTCAATTTGTGTTCTTAATTAATCAATCATTCTATTTAAATCGTCTAAGAAATTCATAAAAAACGATCATAAAAATTAAACAGTTAAAAATAATCGTATTTTATCTGTGCCTTTAAACTATTCTTCCCAATACTATCTACCTATCCATGGAAATCAATTTAAAGTTAGTCAACGATATAATTATATAACGATACGACCTAACATCCTATGCGATAGAAATACGGTAAATATTTCATTTTCTTTTTCTTAAATTATATTGACACTCAAACATTGTTCTATGTTATAATTAAACCATCTCGTAGATAAACATATTCAAATATTGATCAAATAGTTTTCGATAATGTACAACCGAATATTATTCGATCTGCTCCATTATATAATTGACATTTATTCTGGAACTCACGTATATTTTTCGAAGAAAATACGAAGTAGAAGTTTTAAGTTCGAGATTTGGCGGCTCCCCACCCCTCCCCTTACAGCCAGACAGGTCTCCATTACAGACCTTAGCAATGGAGAATCAGAGGCGTCAGATTTTAAGGAATATTTGGAAAATTGATCAAGTTATAATCTTGAAAAATAATGAACATGATTATTTGCCAGTTGATTAATATATGATGGTACGTAAGATCTGCTGTAGATATCGTATATATGTAAACGCAGACTTATTTGTCAATTAATTCAATTTTTATAATAATAAGCATGTTAAATTAACAAAAACACGAATTAAAACAAAAAATGAAAAATATTGAGCGAATAGGAAGAATGCAAACAAAAAATGGGGCGCCCGTAGAAAAAATAATTTTTTTTTTGCTTTTAAATATAGAGATAAATAATAAATTCTCGCTCTTGTTATCGATTATTAGTGAAAAGCACTAGAGTCGACGAGAAATTTTTCAGTTTACGGATGATCTATTAGGATAAGAGGGTTGAATGATGATATACTTGAGTTCCATATTTCTCTTCTGAAGGAGCTATATGTTTTCGATATTCTATCATAATATATTTCTTCTTCTCTAAACTAGGAAAAAGAAGACTTACCTACAATCACGTTAAACTAGATAAAAAGTCTTGAAATCAATATAAAATGCAAAGTTATCTCCATCTTGACAAGTAGTTTTGAACGAATAATAATAAAAAGATTCTCAATTATAATATTGAACGAATTAATAGTTACATATTTAATGCCGTGTATTATCCAGAGAATATCATGTGAACTGAGCAAAAAAAACATCAAAATTTAAATAGAATATTAAGTATACTATGCGATCATCAGTGTAGAGTAATAGCGAGTTTAAACGATAGTGAAAGAACTTGTTTATCTATCGTTTTATATTAGTCTTCTGCGACCATGTAATCAATGATGAGGATCAGTCGAACATATGTTCGTTCAGTTGTTGAATTTTCAATACTGTCTTCGATAGAAGGTACTTTATTATCGACGAACTTCCAACAACAGAATTTTTATTGCCAAGCATCTTAAAATTGTTTAATGTCTCTCAAAAAAAGGCCTTCAATTGTTGGTTTAATTGGTCGACTTTGCAGCACATCTGGTAATACTTTTTCAACATATAGATGATATTAGTTAGCAACGACCAAACTAGCTTAGATCTCTTCAATGAATTGGCATTTCATAGCAATTTTTTGCGTCATCTATATAGATGGTGTTAGAGTAGTTTTTGGTTTTCAAAATGATTCATTGTTTTTTGGACAAAATCCGAAATATATAATAAATAGTTATAACAAAAATCAATGGCTGAAAATTGACTTTTTCATATTTTATCTGTCATATCCCAATTCATTAATTAATCCTAAGAACGAACTCTAATGCCATCTAGAAGGTCACTTTGACAAGGCTCTTTTCATTTAACCAATATCAATAGAAATTTGACACTAAAATATTTCTTTGCACATTATGATTGGTAACAAAAATTTTCTTTTATTATTATATAGAAATATCACTTTGAACATCAAATATAATACTTCGTAGAAATAGAATAAAAAAAAATAATTCTATTAGAAAATTCAAAACAAAAAAAGCTGAAACAAGTAAATTTTTTATTTATTTTTGTTATAAATTTGATCCTGTTATTATTATTGTTATTATTAGTAGTAGTACAATTACTATTCGAATGGCTGTGGCTATAGATGTTCAAAGTGAATCACTCAATGGTGACAATAAGACTGGTAAACATTCACGAATATCACAATTATCCATAAATAAAAAACCACATATTCGTGAGCATCCGATGATGAAAGAAGTGACATTTTTGCTTAATTTTTTTATTTCTATAATTTATAAAATTCTTTTTTTCAGTTTGTTACAAGTGGTTTAAGTGTTTCTGTAGCAAATATTGTTACATTACCTAGTAAGAAAAGTTTTTTTTTTGCTATTAAACAAATTCATTATCATTTTTCATTTTACAGTTGATGTATTAAAAGTACGTCTTCAATTAGCTAATGCAGCTATGACAACATCAAAATCATGCATGAAAGCAGGTTTTATAGAAACAACAAGATTAGTATATCATAAAGAAGGTATTCGTGCATTTTATTCTGGTCTTATGCCAGCAATTGTTCGTGGACTTTTTTATGGCGGTGTACGACTTGGTATATCCATAATAATTTATAATAAAAAAAAAAAAGAAAAGAAAAATTCTTCATAAAAACTTTATTTTGTCTAGGTGCTTATGGACCAATAAAAAATATGCTAAAACATCTTATTGCAGAAGACAGAAATGCAGCAACAAAAATTTTTCGTGATATTACAGCTGCTTGTTTATCAGGTTCAACAGCTGCTATTGTATCAAATCCTGTTGATTTATGTAAAACAAAATTACAAACTAAAAATTCCAAATATACGTCATCGTTTCATGTCATTCGAGATGTTATTCAACAATATGGAATTAAAGGTTTATGGGTTGGAACTGTACCAGCAGCTTTTCGAACAGGTGAAAAAAAATAACTTTTGTTTTTTGTTGATGTTAAATATTCAAATATTCTTATTCTAGCTGCTTTAACAGCTACACAATGTGTAACTTATGATCATGCTAAACGTTTTTGGATACAAATAACAGGTTGGGGTGAAGGAATTAAATTACATTTAGGTGCTTCATTAATAACTGGGTTAGTTAATAAACGAGATTTTTGTTGTTTTACTAATAATGATATGTCTTGTTTAAATAATAGACTTGTTACTACAACAGTTACGGCACCACTTGATACAATTAAAACAAATATGTATGCAGCTGGTGGTTATGGTGTTACTGAACTTACAAATAAAATTGTTAATAAAGAAGGTTTTCGAGGATTACTACGTGGATGGTCAGCAGCATATGTGCGGCTTGGTAAGTCATAAAAGATAAAAACATTTATAATATGATTATTTATTCATATTGAAACTATAAAATAAGGAATCGATTTTATTTTTATTGATCTGATATTAAGTTTTCAATTAAATAATGTGCGTAGGAGTCAAGGTGCATATAGAGATTTTTCAATGTATAGGTGTATAGGATAGTAAACACAAAAAAACAAAGATTACATTGACATCAAGGTCATAAGCGCAAAACAATTGCGCGCTATTTTGATTTTTGAAGGCCATAATATGTTAAACTATTGTAGTGTTTTGCTTTCAATATATCGTTAGTTTAAGATTCATAAAGTCTTCAGTTTTTCGTTTTAATCTACAAAAAGAAATTATATTTATTTATTCTTAGGACCTCAAACAGTCGTCATATTTCTTGTTATGGAAAGATTACGTCAATTTTCTGGTCTATCTGCACTATAATAATACAATCAGGTTTATATTTTTCTAATCTGTTTGTTTTTGTCTGTCAGCTATATTTTTCTGCCTTCTTTTTGTTTTTGTTTTTATTACAATTCTATTATTGTATTGCATATGCCTGATGAATGTAGAGAACAAATATTTTCTCTTTACTATTTTAACAGGTGTAGTCAACTATTCAGAATAGTATTTTATTTTACTAAATATAATTGATATACAAGCCCAATAAAAATATCTTGTTAAAATATTATCCATGTGGAAAAAGAAGAATTGTGGCTTTTTTTTTGAATGACTTGTGATAAGAACAAGATAGTGAGTTGCGGTTTTCACTATAAGAAAGAGAAGACTCAGATACGTAAGCATGTGCTGAAATTTGATTGCCCAACATAGAATGAATCATATTCATTCTTGGTGAACATTTTCAAAACGATATTGTGGACTCATTTTTCAGTTGATCTTGATGGTTAAATATGATCGGTAGATAGCAAAAATAGTTCTCTTTTGATCTAGACAAGGCTGATAATGCTAGTGTATTTCGTTCAAAACTTATAAGAGTTTCCTAGAGATCCCTGATTTCAGCCAAGTGACTTGGGATCATCTGGACAAACTTCTAGACAGAGGTAATTCATCATGTTAAGTCAACTGGCGGTATTTGTGATATGTAGACTTGTTATGGTACATAGTGGCAAGTGGTGAAAATTTGGAAATACTGAAATGATAGTGTCAGATCATTTGGAATCCAAAACATATTGTCATTCGACTCAACATGACGAATCACCCCTGTTAAGATACTTTTTCAGATGATCCCATGTCAACTGACTAAAATAGGAGATCTCCAGAAAACTCGGAAACTTTTGAACCGAACAAGTGAGTCATGTCGGCTTTGTTTAGATCCTACGAGAATAATTTCTCCTACCTATAGATCATATAAACAATAAATGTCAACTGAAAACTGAATCCAGAATACCATTTTTAAAATGTCTATCAAAACTTAATCTAATTGGTATTGTGCTGGCCAATCGAATTTCAGCACGTACGACGCATACGTCTGGACTTTCACTTTGTAATGATGAAAACTTTCTCTCTCTCTCTCTCTCTCTCTCTCTCTCTCTTGTTCCTGTCAAAAGTTATTTAAGAAATACTGACGAGTTTTCTTTTTTTGAAATGGATATTAATTAATGATGGATGTTATCTATTATATGTGAAAGATACGAGAAATAAAATAAGGTAATCTTAAAAAACAACTGATATTATAACAGTTCCTGAACAAATTTCAGACCCAAGTGTACTCGAACAAAAGATAATAGGACGCTCATTCTTTTTTCTTCCGTTAAATAGAACGTGATCTCTAGTTTAAAAGAAAATGTTTACCGATTGCTACTTATATACTATTAATAAAAATTGTTTTGTTGTTTTCGAAACTACAAAAAAGTACAATGTAAAAGTTTTTAGCAATAAACAAATTGTATATCTCAACAGTGCCATACGCTTGAAAACTAAAATAGTGCTCACATGTTGAATTTCGCTTAACTATAATTGAGAGGAAAAAATAGTAACTTAAAAATACTTTTCTTTACAGAGACTTCGTGTCAGAAAATTTTATCTGACAGAAAGTCTCATAATTTCAATTATCGAATTAGTTCTGCACAAACATTAGTCGATCTTACTCTAATCTGTCAGAATTAAATGATAATAGATAAGCTTCGATATGATTTTTATCTGTAGTAAAAGCTGATATAATTCTTTATATAACCTATAAAATCAGTCAAGAAGGTTACGTCTTAGCCAAGATATTGAACTTTTTTTAAAGAGGTTTGGAACAAATTCAAACCGGTTTTCTGACTAATAAGGGAACCTCCCATTTTGAGTCATTTATATCTCATTTAAGTGAACATATTGAGATAGTAAAAATCCTAAAAGAATTTGGGTTCCTGTTACTTCTATCAAGAATTATAATCGTTTTACTGAATTTTCAATCCATTCCTAGGTATTTACTGTAAAAAATATAATTAGGGAATTTCGATCTCAAAGTTTGCCTACAAATAGGCTCAATGGTCCTTAAAATATCCTGAAAGTTTCAGCCAAAAAGAATGTTCCTTTCTCGAGATATCAATTTTTCGAGTGGACTCAGTTTTTGTGACGTATTTATAGCAAGCGACTATTTTTTGAAAAATCAATATCTCGAGAAAGAAACACTATTTTTGGCTGAAACTTTCAGGATATTTTAAGGACCACTGGACCTATTTGTGGGCAAAATTTTAGGTCCAAATTCCCTAATTTTATTTTTACAGTAAATACTTAGGAATGGATAGGAAATTCAGTAAAACGGTCATAACTCTTGATAGAAGCAGCAGGAACCTAAATCCTTTTAGGATTTTTACTATCTCAATATGCTCACTTAAATGAGATATAAATGAATCAAAATGGGAGATTACACCTCAGGAGGTTCCCTCGTAAGGCATAAATAACAGTCAGCGAAATATTTCATGTTAAAGTAGCGATCACAATTTATCTCGTAAACAGAGTATGTGTTTTCTATAACATTTTGTTCGAATACAGTTGAGTCTAACATTTGTCCGAGAACTTTTGCAACACTTCTCAAAAAAATATAATTTACTATGAAACTATAAATGCTTTCTATTTAAAAAATAAATGAATTGATTTCTTTTATTTGCAATATTATATTGACAGTAGTTTTAACTATTTAAAAATATTTAATTTTCTTATTCTAGATAGGCTATTTTTGTTTTTCATGCATTTAACTAAATATATTTTCATCTATTTTTTACTTTATCTATCGAATTTATCGGCTAAAACTAATGACTTTAATCCATATGAAGTTCTTGGTTTAACTCGAACAGCATCAGATAAAGAAATTCGTCTAGCATATAAAAGATTAGCAAGATATTGGCATCCTGATAAAAATTCAGAACCCAATGCACATGAACAATTTACAAAAATCAATGCAGCTTATGAAGTAATATATAAAAATAATATGAAAAAAAGAAAACAAATTTTCTTGTAGATTCTATCTGATTCAATAAAACGACAAAATTATGATGATTATGGTACAACATCTCAAGATAATCAACGTGGTTTTAATACAAATCATTTTCGTGATTCATATGATATATTTCGAGAACATTTTGGTAGTGATTTTAATTTTTTTCAGGAATCCCCATCTGGTGCGAAAAAAATTATTCATTTACGGTAAATTTTTTTTCTTTCAATACAACTCTAAATTCCTATCTGAATTTTGTTTTAGTGAATTTCTTAATAATATTTTACCAAATAGTGATAAAAAACCATATGTTCTTTTTGGTAGTACAAATTTTTGTTTACATTGTCGTGAACCATTAAGATTATTTCGTTCACTGGAAAAACAATTCAATGATGTTGGTATTGGTACAGCAGAATTTAATACAAAGGATCAACGTTTAAGTAATGAATTAGGTATATTAAATGCTCCATCATTATGTGTTATTAGTCAACGTCGTGTCTATCATTTTAATGATCATGGAAAATTTAATCAATATACAGAAACAAATATTAAAGAATTTGTTCGAAAATCAATACCTATTCAACGATATATAAAAACAGTAAGAGAAATAAAAGATTTTTTCAAAGGTCCTTCTATCTCTCAAAAATCGATCTTAAGTCAAATACATTAAAATCGCATGAAATTTTCAGATTTATAACATGACATTTTCGGGAGATACAAAACAAACAAGGGTCACTAGTAGCCCATTTGACAACAGGGACGTGCAGTTTCAGTAAAAAAAAACTGACAGTGAGTCTACTGGTACGCTAACTAAACTGAATCGAGATTGATTAAAGCTTTGACATACCTATACCGTAGGCATATATCAGGTAAGTCAGAATGAGTTTTCAGTGAACAGTTTACTGAAACTGCATATCTCTATTTGGTAATCCGAAAATTCTCTGTGGGTTTTCATTTTATATATTTAAGTTTTTTTTTTGTTTGAAAGACCATGTCAAATATAACCTTAAATTAAAATTTTTATTATTTTATTTAAGTTACGAACTCCTGATGATCTATTATCACTAATATCATCATATAATGAAACAAATCGAATTCATGCAATATTAATAACTAAACAAAAAGCACCAAGACTTAAATTTGTTATAGCTTGTTTACAACATTTATCCCGAATACAATGTGCTGTATTAAATTCATGTAAGTGAAAAACAAAAGAATGTTAATTTTATTTGTATTTTCTATGAATAGCTATGATAATGACTAGTGAAATACCATCATTTCTTAAACAAGTTTCAACTATAACTGATACAGTTTTATTATTTAAAGAAGATAAAAATCCAATAGCTGTTATTAAAGATGTAAACCATTGAAATAGAATCTATATTTTGAATAGTTTTTGCTTTTAGAATGATTTAACTTTTGTTAATATTCAAAAGTTATTCGAATCAAATCAACTTTTACATTTACCAACAATTACAAGTTCAAATGTGTTTAATTTAGTTTGTCAAACAAATTCTGCTAAGTATGTTACACACTTTATATAATTAGAGTTTTTTTTACAAGCCAAAATCTTGAAAAGAATAGAATTGTAGTCGAATTGAACCAATTAAACTAACTGGTTTTTTTACTCGTTGAAAAAAGAACATCATCGACATATGTCGTTTTTTCTTTATTGAAATGACTTAGGAAAAAGGTTTAGCATTTTCATCAAAAGCATAATTAAATGACGCTGTTTGAAAATTACTAATTATTTTGTTTGATGTTTTTCTTTGTTCTTTTGTATTATTCTAATCAGATTATTTTTCTTGAAAAATACAGATCGAAACTGCTTTTGATTATTTGACTTATTCATTTATTGCACTGATATTTTGTTAGAGATTAGGCTTAAGTCTAGGTTTGTTTTTTTCAAGATCAAAACAATCGTTTAATCTATCAAGTCTGAGCAACAAAAATTAATTGAGAATTGAAGTTTAGAAGCCAAATTTCAGAGAATATCTCATTATTTTTTCATGCTGTAGTAACATCATACAGATCTCGTCAAATGTAACTTCTGATGTTCTGTAACATCAGAGCTTTAGTAATAGTTGCAGCTCCATCAAAACAACAATGGTTCTGGAATCTTACTTGGATACATGTCATTCTAAACGACTTTGTATGTAGAGATTCTATTGATTCTCGAGTACTTCCGGATTATAATTTCCTTGTTTTCCCTTAATATACATGTATAATGATATCATACGATAATACTATGTGATACTAGAAATATAGGGAGAGAGAGAGAGAGAGTACTGTTATAGCTTAATGAAGATAGATGATTATACAAATTAGAATCTGCGCAAAAGCTCGAAACTTATATACACAGTTTACGTTGTCAAAGGGTTATGAATTCACTAAAAAAGTGTTAATTCATCAACTTTTTGAATTGTCGCGATAACACTGTCTATCGCAAAAAAACATTTTCTATATACTAGCTCACTATCACAATTGCTAAATGTAAGATATGTGCTGAGAGATTTTCAGTTATCAATATATAGACGAAGTACTATTAAAATTTAATAACATTTACAGAATTTATAATATGTTGATAATGTATGGCATACAATTATAAATGAATTTCAAAAGAACTATTGTCTAGAAGAAAATTTCTTTTTCAATCCTTTTCATATCAATATGAAGAATAAGATTTATAATAAATCTAAAACAAAACAAGTAATTTAAAGAATTTGTTATGTTTGTCTACGCACTATATTTCATAAGATTAAAAAAACAAACTGAGATACAAATAAGCATATCTGCAGAGAAAAAAACACATTCCAACAGAAGAAGTCTTTATATAGCAGTACAAGAATATTAAGATATAGAAAGTACCAATGTCTATAAATACATTAGATTGTTAAAAAAAAGTAATCATATTTGCTTAAGTATTTATTGTTTTTTTGGCAAGATGACTCGAATCTTTCAATTTTCTTAAATAAGAATAAACATTCTATCCGACTACAATTAATTTTACAAAATAATGAATATCATTTTAAAGGTCAATATGCTCTTCGCCAAAAGTCAGTCATCTACGTTTCCATACATTATAGTTGAATAGATGCTATATTTATAAAATAAATATTCAGAAAATTTTTTTTTTTATATATGATATTATATTCTTGAATGATTACAAAATAAAACATTTTTTCAGACCCTGTTTTCTAATTATTGGTGATTCATTACTTTTTGAAGAATATCGATCATCTTTGTTATTTCTTGCTAAACAAATATTTCAACAATATGGCTCACGTATGGCATATCTTGATTCATCACCAACAAAACAAATAAGTTTTAGTCGAATATTTTCATCGATTTATCATCCTAATGATAAAAAATTAGTTGTAAGTATCTCATTAAATCGAGATAAAAAAAAAAGAAAAGAAAAACAACATTTTTTTTTTTCGTCATTAAAAGATTGTTGTTATTCGTCGATGGTTTGATCATTCAATTGAATTAGTTAATGGTGAAGTTGAATTTGATGAAAATTCATTAAATGAATTTAAACGTAATAATTTAAATATTGTTGCTGATATTGAAGCAAATTTAAATTTATATTTAACGATGCGTTGGCAAAATGCCAAAAAATTTACATTACCAACTATATTTGATTTTGATGAAAGAAATGAGGTAAAATTAAAAATAATTCGTTTTGTTTTTATTCTATTCTTGTTGTTATTTTTTCTTTAAAGAATATTTTTACAATAATTATTAATCAAATTCAAGATAAATGGAATTATTGGTTTGAAAGAAATCCAATATTTCGATCTTTGTAAATATATTTACTTATAAAAGAAAATTATAATAAGATTTGTTTATGTTTTTTTAAATGATTTTTATAGATCAGGATATGTTTTTACATATCAATTTTCGTTACTTTTTCTTTCAATTATTGTTTATTTATGGTATACAAAACGAGAATCGGATAATAATTTAAATAATGATAGAAAACAAATGAGAAAATCATATCCATCTTCAACAACAAATAAAAAATCAAATGAAATTTAGTAAATTTTTATAATTAAATGAAATAAATTCTAATGATGTTTATTTCTAGTCGAGAACCAAACAATATAATAAAATTAGATGAATTTAATGAATCTTTTCTTCAATGTTATACAAATCCAAATGCATCAAATGTTATTATATTACTTCTTATTGCTAATACACCAAATGATTCGTGTATTGCACATTTTACTAAACAAATTAGTTTAATTAATGAGTATGTATTTAGAAAAAAAAAAGAAAGTTTCATATAAAAATAATTATCGGATTGTATTTGACAAAATAGCAATTAAAACTATTCCAAAAGAATTCATTAATTATCTAATTAGATTTTTTTAGTTTTTTTTTTTTTTTTTTTGTTCATTAAAAAGAAATGGTTAATAACACGCACAAGAAACAAGAAGAAGACGTTTGTTCATTCATAAAACTCAAATTCTAATTAATTCTGATGTAAAAAATGACTACTAAACCCTTTTATCTCTTTTACTTCGGTCTCTTGCACATGTCAATTTTCTTTCATATTCTATAAATAATCATGTCAAATGTATTCACTCAAATAATTAATCTATAAAAATATAATTTTTTTCTTCATATTCTATAACAAAAAAAAAAAAAACAAAATTTCATTTTTTTGTCAAAAATCAAAGTGAATTAATAACATGATCTTTAGAAAATATGTAATTAATTTATATAACAAAAAAAAAATGAAAGCCACTTTAACAATGTCTAAGTGTAATACTCTTATGATGAAAAGAGAGCTTTCAAATAGAATCACTTATAAAATCAGTGAGAATACAAAGTTTCTTTTTTTATATCGAGGTCAATGAATATATTTTATTAATCAAGAATATATTCTTCTGATGTTTTTTTTTTCTTTAGTTCTAGAATGATCTTTACTGTTCTTTATCGTGAATATTCACCACAATGGCTTAATGAACTTTATGCAAATATAGAAGATGATCAAAGTCGTCATTTAGTTCCATTTGCTATATCAACTGTACTTGCTTTGTATATACGACGAAAATTTTTTGTACCTTATGGACCATTATCAAATAAAAATGATAATGATGACGTATTAGATGAAAATGGTGCTTTTATTGGTATGGATAATTATCAAAAACGTTCATTATCGACATCATCAACAGATTCTACAGAATCAACAACTGATTCATTATCTTTTTCTGATTGGATTGATCTTCTATTTGATGGAAATATTAGAAAACCTATTTCTGTAACAGAATGGCCGATGATATTTCGTTGAAAGTATTCTTTTTGTCTTCTTTTTTTTTGTATTCTAGTCATTGTTCTAATCGTTTTGTACTGTATAGAGTTACTATTTCTATTGCTGCTTATCTGTCATGCTAAGTTCCATCAATTAGGATCTCGGTATGTGTGTGTTGTATGTTATGTCTCATTTTCTGTCTGGTGAAAAGTGATAGTTCACAGCAGTAACATTCATCTTTAACTGATACATCTAATGAACTAATAAGCCAGTCTATGGTGCTCTTCGTAATCAATGACATTGCAAGTGTTCGGTTCTTCTTCTTCTTCTTCTTCTTCTTTTTCTTACTATATTTTATTTGTATTTTTCTTTTCTTCATAGTTATTCTATTGCAAACAACAGAAAAAAAAATGAGTGAATAAATGAATGCCCGATTGCATTTCAATTAGAGTATATGTGTGTGTGATGACAAGGGAGACAGATTCAATATCCTTTTCTTTTATTTTGGAATGTGTTGTCGTGCAGGTTTAATGAGAAAGAATATGAACACGCAGAGATGAGATGAATGAACAAAAGCAGAATACATATATACAAATAATAGTCTACTTTAACAGACCCCCCAGGTTGGTATTCAAGTGTATATGTGAGCACCTCATAATAATCATGTGTTGAAATGCAAAAGTAGAACGCGCATACAATGCCTATTGAATCAAAGCCAATTATCTCTCTCACAGTCTCTCTCTCTCTTGCGTTGTCATTTTCTGTCAACATAACAAAATAGAAGTTGACATTCGTCGATCTATTCTTTCCAGATTCTTGTTTTATTGACTGATCAGTACAAATTCTTTTTGCTGCTTTCCATGCATTTCATCATTAGACTCTAATTTGAATAACTCTAGATGAGATTTATGTAAATGAAATCTTACTCTCTAAGTCAAAATTAATATATCAAATTGCTATATTCAAGTAAAAAAAAAATTCTTTTTTTCTACTCAAATCTCAATTGAACGATTAAGAAAAGAATATTGATAAGTGAAAGATATTACTTTTCTTTTTTCTTTTGTAACATATATTTTGACAAAGAATGGTCTGTGGCTACTTATAGTCTTCTTCTTTCTATGTAAAAAAAATATAGAAAGATGCAAAAAGAAAAAAAAAGAGATCTATTATTGTATAGCGAACGAAACATTTTCTTTTTCTTTTCTTTATTGATCTGCATTTTTTTGCTTTCCTCTTTCTCAAACCGCCACACCGCTCAGCTGTTCTGTTTGTGCTCGCATGCACACAAGTAACATCGTCCTTTTCGTTGTCGTCTTCAGTTGCTTCTTATTTTTCATCCATCCATCTACTACGCACAACCCTCAAACAAAAAATAAACGCAAACGACAACGATCTCTTTGATACTGTCCCTTTTTTTCCCCCAATAAAATAAATGAATCTACGACGATCAATAATAACAAACAATCAGACTATAATAACGAAGGTTAGTTATTATTCTATTACAAATATGAATATCAATCACTCATACAAAATCGATCTAGTCAAAGTCATTAATTATAGAAAAAGAAGAAAAAAAAGCTGACAGGCACCAGGTTGCTTTCTTCTCATTCCTATCGTTTATGTTCTTCCTCTTGATAGAAGTAGCATTGTATTCTATGAATGGTGCATCAGTTGTTTTGTCAACATAAGTAATAATGTTGCTGACATATATTCATAAAAACAAAACGAAAGAACTCATTTGTAAAACGAAAAATAAATCGTTATTGATTATACTGATTACACGGTATCTATGTCCTTGATCATCATCAATAACATATATAAATACTGAGTAAGAATGATGACGATCACTTTACCATCATTATCAATAATAAGGAGGAGTCATTCAAAATATTTAAAACACAAACATATATGAAAAACAACAACAACAACAACAAGGTAGATATTTGCGTGTGTGTTATCCTGAAAACGAGACTATCGACATTTGCATCATTTGACAAATTGATTAGAACATGCAAGTAACCGTTATCGATGAAGGGGTCTAGAATGTGCATGTATATATATATGTATATGCGCATGAGACAGAAGGGGAAAAAAACGACGACATTTCGAAAATCGACAATATATTATATATATTATATATATATATATAAATATATATATACGTAAGTTTGTTAGCTGCAAGTCAAAGGTGACATACTTGAGAGCAAGAAGAAAAAAAAAGGAAAAAATCTCAAATAACGAGTGAGTGAAATAAATGAATGATGAAAATAATAATCAATAGATTGAACATGTCTGTGTTTGTCAATTGATCATTTTTTATTTTATTTTCACTTTAATGTGTTCATGTTTCTCATCAGTCAATTCATTTATCCATTACCATCTGGCCGGAAACGATCATCTTTCTCTCTCTCTCGAACAAAAAAAAATGAGAGGAAACGACGTACATCCTATATAGCTTCAGGGAAGTAGAAGAAGATTTTTTTATTTTTTCCTTTAATAATGACCATGACATTCGAATCTGATTGAGAATTCTTTCTCTTTTCCTCTTTCTATTAGTTAAATATCTTTTACAAAGAGGATTAGTCACATCTTTCTATGTATATATATATATATCAAAAGCTTCGAATGATGTGCTTCACCTGCACATGTAAAAAATTATCATACAAATACAACAAAAAAATGAGAAGAAAGAATCTCTCATTTTCTCTTTTACGTGCATGTGTGTGTTCACGCTCTTCTGTGAAATTGATATCGGGTCAGTGCAATGACGGCACACATACAGAACGTCAGCATGCACACATAGAAAAAATCTGCTGCATCTTTTTTTTCTCTCGTTCTCTCTTTCTTCTCTCATTTCTTTTTTTCTCTGTGTGTCTCTCTCTCTCTCTCTCTCTTTACCACTATTGCCATTCACTCCTCCTCAACTGCAACAGAAGTAACAACACAATTATTTCCTATAGAAATGTTTTTGTCTTAAAAAAAAAAAAAATATGAAATTTTTCTTCTTCTTCTTCTTCTTCAGATGCATACACATCATCCAACAACACGAAGTTCAAGCACAACATTAAATGAATTAATGAAAAAAACTCCATCACCTCGTCGTCAAACGACACGTTCAACGTCTAATATAAATAAAGATAACTTAACATCTACAAATATTCAAGTTATTAAACCGGTTGCTGTACGTCCACCATCATCAGATTCAATACAAAATCCATATAATTTACGTTCACGCACTAAATTAAAGAATTGTAATATTGAAGTTATACCATCATTTACAGAAAAACTTTCATTAGATACACCACAACAGAAACCGGTGCCACCATTAACTCGTGCTGCTGCTGCATCGGCCGGTGTTAAAATTGATTCATTAATGCATGATGAATCAATAAAAACTAGTAACAATAATAATAATAATAATAATAAAATTTCAATAAATCCTCAGCAATCAACACGTTCGAGTACAACTCGTAAACGTAAAGCAAGCGAAGATGATCATAGACCTTATTTAGATTTACTTAAAATGAAACAGGTAATTTCTTTTTCTTTTTTTTTATTCAAACTAATATGTGATTGATTTTATTCATTAAATCACACATTATTATTTGTTATCGCGTTTCTTTCAAGTGTTAATGTGAACTTGGTTCGTTTCTTTATATATGTATATATATACGCACCCATCATCAGTCCTTTTGTCAATAATAACACATACATCGTTTTATTTGACTCTTTTTTTTTTCTATATGAGAAAGAATTTTGACAGCTCTTTTCAAAGCGCAATAGTCGAGCATATTAGTCGTTCGTTGCTTCTTTTTTTTTTCTTATTTATTTGATTCGAATAAGAATAATGATCAATTGCATCATATATATACTGACATTTCATGTCTTGAGATATGTAACGGATTCGAGTCATTTGTCATATTTTGTTATTTTTCTCGTCTCGTTCTTTTTTAGACACAATCGACATACAGCTTTGATGGCAATTCACCAAAGAAGGTATGTTTGAAGAGTGTAGAATAGTACGTTGCCATAATAAGTTAAGAGAAATGACCATCAAGAATATAAAAAAATTGTTCGATCGATTGATCTCTATCGTCCCATTTCTTTCTTTAGTCGTCGTCGTCGTTGTCGATTTTCTCTTTTCCCTAAGCGAATAAAAAAAAGCATAGAAATAAATTGAGTTGTATGTGTTTGTATGTGCGCTCTGTTGAGCAGCATACGAAATGAGATTGACAATCGCACCTGTTCATTTTTTTTTCTTGTAACACAAATAAGAAGAAAAAAAAATCAACTAAGATTTTTAATATTTGACTGATTGATTAAACAAGAATAAAGTGTTAGGTTTCTTTGTTCTCGGCTTTTTTTTATTTACTTAATTAGAATGCTATATATATATATCTGTGTGCATCAACACATTGTTTGACCTGAAAACTGCTAATTTGCACGCTCGGTCAGATTCACTATAGAATCTATTAGAATAATGGAATACGACTACTGAATTGAGGCATCTCTGATTGTCTGTTGCACTCTCTTTTTATTTCCGTTCATTTTTCTTTTTTTTTTCTTCTTTTCTATAGATGACAAGACGTGCCGATCAAGACTGTATTGGAGGCGATGATGAAGATAGCGGATGCGATTATGATTCTCCAGCTCATTCTCCGGTCGACTTCACGGATGTTCCTCCCGGTCATGTACTTCACTTTGAAGAGTCAAATATGTCCTATGATTCGGGTTTTAGTGCTGGATCTGGTGAAGCAAATAATCAACAAAGTTTATCTGAATATAGTCAATCATGTTCTTTATTAGGAATAAATAATAACAGTGGAATTTCTACTCGTAGTAGTACAATAAATTCTAACAAATATCCAGCAGCTATTGATCTTGATGTTAATGCTATTGAAGGAGATCTCGGTTTCTAGTTTTCGTTTTTTTTTCTGTTTGTTTTTTTTTTTCTATACAATGAATACCAATTATAACATTGCAGTCGTGTGTGTTTTTTTTGATGTTGTTATTATTGTTCACATTATGATCATCATATTGTGCGTGCCATCTTTACCATTTTTTCTGCTGCTTTCTTGCTGTCAGATGTGTGTTGAGTATATACATGCTTGTCATTTCTTTCTTGTTTTTCCTCATCATTGCGCCATGGCGTATTCATATACTCACACTATTTGCACGGCTCTTTTTCTCCTAAGCTCCTCGTCGTTTGTCGTCCCGTCAGTTTTCTTTTTTTTTTGTTTTGTTTTTTTGTGTCTCGTGGTGGTTCATTTTCTTCCTTTATTTCTCATTAGACTATAATTTAAAACAAATATGATCTAAGTCCGGTTCAATCAGTGCTTTTTTCTCTTTTTTGTTTAAAAAAAAAAGAAGATCAATTGCATTGTTTAACATATTATATTCATACTAATTTTTGCCATTCCTTCAATTATCTTCGATGTTTCTTCTTCTGTTTTTTTTTGTTTCTATCAACTTCTTAAAAGTAGTCACATACTTTGTATTCTTGACGGTTGCCATTTTTGTTCGGCTTTACAGGATTAGTTTATATATATGTATATGTACATATATATATGTGCATAAAAGCTGTATTCGTTTTCCTTTTGTTTTTTTTTCCGATGGCTTAAAAAGGATTTTTTTTTTGTTCGTATATAATGCATAAAAAAAAAACATTAGACGACGATTAAATGATAAAATATAAAGTTAAAATTCTTCTATTTATATGGTAAAGGTCATTATAGTATGTGAATGAGCTGAAATGTGAACTTGAAAAAACACCTATCTAGGATAAAATAAATGAATTATGCTCTAATGAGAATGAATAAGTCATATTTATAGTATTTACGCTTAATAGAATAGTCTAAAAATAGGATTCATTTTTCATTGGAGAGAATTTATAAATTCTATTTGGGCGTAAAAAAATAAAAATATTAGCAAATTATGGTTTTTTTTTAAAGAATATATTAAGTATCAAATGAACTTTTGTTTGTTGTTTTTTTCTTGAAAAAAATATTAATACGACAGCGCGCTATTGAAGTTTTTATAAACATTCTTTTGATCTATATATATATATTAACATAAAACAATGATTGTATATGAGATGATCTATGTTTATATGCCGGAAATCATGTATTCAAACAAAATGATATGTCTAGAATGTTGACGTGTTTACAGCGGTTTAGCATGACAAAGCGATTATCTACAAAGAAAATTTCTTTAGTTTTTATACGTGCTTGATAGATCTGTCATTTCCCTCGTGTAATGATATCAAAAAAAAAATATGCACTTCACATTCGATCACGTATTCCCTAGAAGAAACATATGTCATATTGAATTTTGTTTTGATATGATCCTTGATGATTATTCTTACAGATCGATTAAAAGTTTTATCATATCACAGTTTTTAATATCTAGTCTAATTACATAAATAGATAATAACAAAAAACAAAATGCATTGGAAGCTTTTTTTTTTCACAAAATATCCCGTAAGAGAAAAATTCAAGTATTGTGAGTGTAGAGAGAAAATTGAGAGAGAGAAAGCGAAAGAAAAAGAAAGAGTTTCAAAGAAATACGACAATACAGCACAACAAAAAGTGTCTTTAATATTGTCATAGTTTAAACTCTTGTGTTATAGTCTTTAATGAAAATTGCACAATAATGCGTAAGAGAATAATTGACCTAATTTATCATGAAATTTTTGTTGGTGAGGATATTGGAATTATCCTCACTAAAGTCGATGTTGGTGATGTTGTTGATATATTAAAATTTGACATATATTGACGAGCATTTGATTCAGCACGAGCAATTAATTGTTGAATCTCGTCATTACGATCTCGATCTGTCCTAAAATATTTAAAAGAAAGCAAATATTTATATTTCAAGTATAATCAAATTTCTATTTAGAATTTCAAATATTCTATATATTCATTAGTTTTTTTTTAATCATATTCGAGTCTTATGTTAAATAAATATTTTTTAAATTATACAAAATATTCTATAATGACAAACTAATAGATCGTAGTATGATTTAATTTCGAGATATTGTACTTCGATACATTCTCACGAGGGAACTACCTCAACTATGGTTATCGGTATTTTTAAGAAGTGTGGAGGCTAAATGTTCAGTGAAAAGTACTAGAAGTGCTAACTCGAGAGAAAAAAAAAGAGAGGAAAATGAAACCCACTGTGACACGGCATTCTATCTCGGTGGACCTGCCCTAATCATATTCACCTCGCAATGACATCGTCTGCATGTTTTTATTTCACTTTCTGTCAGAGAAAGGCAAATGTTGGTTCGAAATTTCATTTCTGTCTAAAGTTACCACGAAGATGCAAAAAAAAACGTTCATAAGAAGATCTCAGTTAGATTAGCAAGACTTCTCGTTATGAATCTTTGGAGTTGACTTATGACCGTTTCACTAAATTTTTTATTTTATTTTTAGATAGTTATCAAAGAATAGAATTTCGACTTTAAATTTTGTCCATAGATAGGTTTAATGATTCTTAGAGTATCTTGAAAGCTTCAACCGACAAGAATATTGTTCTATTGAGATATAAAATCTTCAAAAGGAGAAGTAGTCATCTGTCATAGCCATGCCACAAAAATTGAGTTTATCTGGAAGTTGCATATTTCGACGGCGGTATATTCTTGTCGGCTGAAACTTGCAGAATATTTTCAGAGTCATTAGAACTATCTATTCAGTAAATTTTAAGTCGAAATTCTTTTATTCAGTTTATGGCAAATACCAAAAAAACAGTTTGAAAATTTATAAGTCGGTTTCAAAGATCTATGAAGAGAAATCTTACTAATCTCACCGAAATCTTCTTAGAAGCTCAAACGTTGAGTAACAGTTGGGATGACTTCTTTTTCAGAATATTCTAAGTGGTACTAATTAGTTTAATAGTTTTCGGACACTTAAATGTTATATCGATACAACCAATCGATAGAGAATTAGGATTGAGTATCAGTTATTTTTTGTATTTATTTCAAACTGAGAACTGGTTAAAATTTTTCACTTAATCAGCGAAAAAATCAATTCGTTTTATATCGCAATTAAACAATTAGCTCTTTCGAGAAAAATTTTCTTACTACAGTTCCATAGCTACTAAGTTTCGTTTGTATATTAGACTTCATATTTCTAGATCGTTCACTGTATGAAAATCGATAAAAACAAACAAAATAGACTAACTTCAATATCTTAAAAATTAAACTGATGAAAATCAATCGGTTAGGAAAGTTCAATAAGTCGAGTTTCGAGTCAGATTTGTTCTATTTAAATTACCGTCGATCATCATGTGCTCTCTTTCGCATCTGACTCATTATATCTCGAAGATCAGCATTTTCTTCTTCGAGTATTTTTATTTGAACTTGTAATGATTCTTTCGAAGCTTTTTCAGATGCAAATCGTCGTTCAAATTCATTGATCTAAATAAGAAAGAAAAATATATAAATAAGAATTAATAATTATAAATCCAAAATTTCAATACTTTTGTTCGTAATTCTTCAAGACGATTTGATGAATCAACTGTACCAGTATCAAGATTTATAACATCAGTTCTAAAAAAGAATTTGCTATATTAAAATTATACAAAACTATTCATTGTTTTTTATACCTGCGAACAGTAATATTTTCGAGTATCTGACTACGTCGCATACGTTCTAATTCTTCTTCAAGAAGACGATTTCTAATAGAAATAAAATAATTAAGAAAAACAAAAAGCAAAACAAGAACGATTATTTATTTAATTAATATTCGACATATACTTATCAACAAGTTCATTTAATCGTTTATATTCATTTGATATTCTATCTTCAACTGATTGTCGTTCAAGAAGTATTTCTCGACTTTTATATTGTGCATCTTGAATGAGTTTATCTTTTTCAAAAATCATTTCTTTTTTATGTGTTAATTCATTTTTAAGTCGTTCTATTTCATTTTGTAATTGTTCAGTACGAATTTGTGCTTCACGTCTGTCGCGATCAGTTTGTTCTCTAAATAGAAAATTCATAGAAAGTTTCATTTAGTTTTATTATCTAATACGAACTTAAAGTTATGTACTGTAATAAATTTCAATGAATTTTTTTTTTCTTATTCAATAAGTCGATTTATTTCACAAGACTGTATTTGTTTTTGTTAATTTTAAATTATTTTCTAACTAAATTATGTCATGAGATCATGAGATATTTCTTAGAGAGACATTTAAGTTATGCTATCAATAATCAAATGAGTCTTCAATTATCGTAACTGTGAAATGATTATAATAACAGAAAGATTTAGTGTCACGATCAGTTGACATACGTTTAGGTTTCTGGATAAGGACATTTGCAAAATTACGTGAAAAATTACTTCTAATGTAGAGAATATTAAAGTTATTTCCCTGATATTTGTTGCTTGGTTATTAATATTTTCCATCTTTGCCGATAATTTTCATAGCTTCCTTGCATCTTAGTAATTTTCGAAATTACGTATAAAGATGTTTATAGTACATGAGTAATTACCGAAGTTTCTTTATTTGGAAATTTGCTTCACATTTTTTGGTAAACTTAAAAAAAATTCAGTATACTTTGTTAGACTTTTTGTTTAGTAATTTCGATATTTTCTCAAAATATCTTTTTTTTCCCGAAAATTTGAATACTGCTAATTTCCCATTTCTTATAAAAGTCCTAAGTTCATTCGTAGTTTACTATAGGCTTTAATACGAATACAAGAACTGCACTTACAAACGTGATTTAATTGTATGCATTTTATCTTTATATTTGGCTGTCACACTTGCAACATTTTGTGAAAGATATTCGGACTGTGCATTAATTTCTGACTAGAAAAAAAAAGTATGAAACAAGCAAATTCAATAAAGAAATAATCAAAAACCACAACATTATAATAAAGAGATAATAAATAACTTTGAATTCAAGCGTGTTGAGCATGCTCCGTTAGTGTGTATATGGATGTGTGCATTTAGAATGAGAAAAAAAAATAAGCATTTGAAAAAAGTACAAAAGCCATGTGTGTGATTCGGTTTTTTTTCCGTTGCAAAGCACAAAAACACAGCATATATCATTGGTTTTATTCTTTCGAATAGAACTTTTAATAAAACATTTGTTCTAGAGAAAGTTAAATTCTTTTCTTTTCTTTTCTGAAAAAATAAAATAACAATATCAACATTCAACTTTGTTTTTTGATAAGTTATATTTAAAGACCAGTGAGTGAAAGTAAATAATGTGAATAATTAAATAATTAAACATATATATATAAGTGTTCTTTTTTAATAGTAATGGACCTGTGATGGGTGATAATAAGCACTAGCTTGTGCTTGTGTATAGTTCGCCTANACACTGATGATACTTCGAGGTTTTCAGATATGGAGAACTCGAATGTGTACTGCACTTCCATCGAAATACTATTAGTTGCGCAGTGACCAATAGAAATGAAGTTATAGGAAAAACGACTTTCGTAGGGTAAATCAAGGTGCAGAGTTCAAACTTGAGCTGTATTCGGTCCCATGTCCTATTGGTTTGGCAACGCACAATATAAATCAACATTTTAAATGGTAGATTTCACAGTATAATTTTGATATTCAGACATTCTAGGATGACTGATCCGTATGAGTCACTTTTTGAAGTACACATAACTCTCGGATTTAAATCCGAAGTTTCCGCATTTATTTTGCTTAATTTTTAATTGTTTTTCTAATGAATTGAATTCATAACTACTTCGTCCATTAAAACCCCCAACACCAACTTTTACTTCTATACCCATGGCTTCCTCTTTTTTAACATAACTATCCCATAATAAAGTTAATACTTCTGGTATAGATGTACCAGATGTTTTTAAAGCTTGAATTATATTACCAGTATAACGTTCTTGTGTTGGTGTAAGAAATGTATAAGCATAATCTATATTTCCTGCTCGACCCGTACGTCCACAACGATGTACATAATCTTCATAATGATTTGGACAATCATAATTAACAACAAGAATTAAATTTTGAATATCTAAACCTCGTGCAGCAACCGATGTTGCAATTTGAAATGGTATATCACCATTTTAAAAATCCGTTATTATTGAATCATGATCATATTGATCAATACCACTATGTAACGCCATACATGGATAAACATTACTCATTAATTTTTTCATTAATTCATCACAATGTTTTTGTTTATCAACAAAAACAAGAACTGAACCTTGTGATTGATATTTACCAAGTAATTCGAGTAATTTTTAATATTTTTGATCATCATCATCATCATCAAGAATTATCTAATGAAATAAGAAAACATTTAATTTAATTTATTTGATTTTTAATTCATTTTTTTAATACTTACGCCATTTTGTATAATATCTTTACAAACAATACTTCGTTCACCTATAGTCGCTTCAATGGGTTTATAGAGATTTTTACGTGCTAATGCTTCCATTTTTTTAGGAAATGTTGCTGAAAACATAACGATTTGACGATCAGGACGAATACTATCAAGGATTTTTGGCACCTAATAAAAAACAAAATAAAGAATATTTGTTGTATATTGATTTTTATTGAATGTATCAAAGACAAGGGGGGAAAAGCGAAATTTTCAGAGTGCTTACTCCCACCGTACTTCCATTGTACTCCTACCGTGCTTCCACCGTTCTCCCATCGTACTCCCACTGTACTCCCATCGTACTCCCACTGTACTCCCACTGTACTCCCATTGGACTCCTACTGTACTCCCACTGTACTCCCATCGTACTCCCACTGTACTCCCATTGTACTTCCAAAAGTATGGGAGTAGATGAAGTATCGCTTTTCCCCCTTGATCAAAGAGCACTCCAGATCGAATGACATTATCAATTCAATTTCTTGGAATTAGAAACAAACTTTTCCTCACTTATCTATTGGCACAACACAATCTAAGTCAATGCTTCCGATCGAAAATGCTCCTGTATTCCTAGGCTTGGGAAACTGCAAAATGATATACGTATGAGTATCTGTTACCATTTTGCAAGATGAGTAAAAGTGAACCATGGACGGAAATTCTGGCTCCGCTACTAGTAACCAAGGTAGTTATCTAAAAAATATATATGGCATCAGATAATTTGACTGATACGACTATGTGACTATTGTCTCAGAATAACGTTAAACTCATCGATACGGCCTACGGATTGCTATAATGTATGCACTAAACAACACTTTGAAAATATGTTCACAATGACAGAACTGACACCCATGATTTACTTAACGGCTACTATGCTCCTTATGTGATCAATAAAAAAAAAATATGCTGCCCATTGGAATTTTAAATCTAAATGAGAAAACGTTTCTCCTAGAAAGTTAATCATCTCAATACTCTCTACTATTTGACTAGTTTCGGAAACATTAAACCATAGTTCAGATCTGATGCGTATCGAATTACTCATGACAGAAAATTTCTGAAAGAAAAAGAACAATCATCTTTCTATCCTATGATAAAGTAGAAGCGGACTGATGTTCATTCTTACCTGTGGTTCAAAACCCATATCAAACATTCGATCAGCTTCATCGACAGCAACATAAGTGACTCGTCGAACATTTGTGACTCTTCCTAAAACCACTCAATACATAAAATATCAATGAATCAATTTTTTCAACATACCATTATTAGCAGTTAACATATCAACCAAACGTCCAGGTGTACATACAATAATCTCTGCACCACGTTTAAGTTGTGCCTGAAAAAATATATTTCAAGATTAAATTTTCAACAACACAAAAAAAGAAACAAACATACAATTTGTTCTGATACGCTTGTATCACCATAAACAGCAATACAACGAATATCAAATAATTTAGCAAATTTTTTACATTCTCTTGTTGTTTGTAATGCTAATGCACGAGTTGGTGTTATAATGATAGCTAAGATAAAAAAAAATTAAAGTTAAAATAAATGATTTTTTCGAAAGAAAATTTAGTTCTTTTTACCTATTGGACCATCTCCATCATCTAATGGTGGTTGATCTATTATATGACGAAACATTGGTAAAAGAAATGCTAATGTTTTTCCACTGCCTGTTTTCGCAATACCAATCATATTTCTACCAGAAAGAATAATTGGTAATGCTTGAGCTTGAATGGGTGTTACCTTTTCATACTTATATCTAAAGAAAATATGATTATTTGATGAGCAAGAACAAGAAATTTTTTAATTTACTTTTTTAAAAATTGTAAAATTTTAACAGATGTTATACACTGTGACCAAGTTTTTATTGGTCTTGGACATCGTTTACCAACTACCTTGATATCGTTTAGTTCTTTTCGATAAGCAACAACTTCTAAAAAGATTTATAAAAAAAAAAGTAAGAATTTAAAAAATTTTCTTTTTCTTTCTATTTACCTGCTTCTGTCATATTAGTTATCTCAAATATAGCTGTATAAAAATCTTTACAAAATGGTCGATAATATATTTTATCATGATTTGCTATAATCATATCCTTGTAAAAAAATGAATGATACACATTAGAATTTAATATATAATTTGAATTTTTAACTTACTAATTTTGATTTTTTACTACTTATAGCAAATATACCATCAAGATCTTCAGTTGGTTTAGTACTTTCTTCTTCTGATGAATATTCTAAACAATCTATATCTTGTTCCATAATAAGACCTTTTTCTCTAACATGTTTAGCTACACCACTACGAGCTGCAACAAGCGATGAAGTTGAAAATGGTTGATCATTATCAACTAACTACAAGAAATAAAAGAAAAAAAACAAGTATATTTTAGTTTTAATTTAAAACTATTATTGCTCGGTAGAGATTGTTATAATGTGACGAATGGAATGAAAATAAAAAGTATTTTGAAGTAGGTTTTAAGAATCGACAATAAGAGTTTTATTGTTAGCCAAGATCTACTGTCTTATTGTAAGACGTGTAGATAATGTTTTATCGAAGTCTAGTAAAATGAAAAGTACAACGTGATCAAAAAGTTATTAGGTCGAGTCTCTCAGTTATTCTTAGATCCACATCAGAAGTCCTCTAATTCATAAATCGCTTTTGAGTCGAAATTATATGCTACTCGCTTATTGCTACAGAGATATTGTGTTTTTACAGTACTTATTAAATAAATGCTGTGGTCACTTCAAGACTTTTGACTTGCTCCTATTCTAAAACAAGAGCATCATATCTGACGGTTTACATGAGTGATGTACAAGACATACTATTACGATGCTTGCATGTTAGACTAGCAAGCTATGGCTTAGTTGGAGAACTTTCCTCGTATTTCCGTCAGTAATAAAGAAATGCTATTCATAAAACAAACAAAGAAAAACTACTGCGTTAAAACATTCATTTTAGCATTTATATAAGCCTACCGTTTTTCGCTAATTATGATAACTAATAATAATCTCAGTTGTATGTCACTATGAAAACTTTCAGGTTTGACTAATACCCATGGGAGCAATTTAACATTTAAACAACAATTATCTAAAACATTAATTGAAAATATTGCGTGTTGTTTACTTGTAATAAGAGAGGGTGTGGGTGTGGGTGTGGGGGTAGGTGTGAGTTTTTCCTCTCATTTACATCCATACCCCATAACTAAATTTCTTATTCAAACTACTTACATGTGCATCGCGTGTCAGACTATTTGCCATACCGCCAAACGTTGATGACATATCGAGGGTATTTCGTGGTAATCACATATTGGGATAGTCACAAATCTAAAGTACATGCAGAAATGCATGTAGAATGATGAATTATTTTCCTTTAATTCCCAGAATGGAATTTGAACCCACGACATTCCGATTAATAGTCTAATGTAATAATAATTAGAGTATTTCTCGGACAAGACTATATGAATAAAAATTGGTAGCCGTTCTGAAAATCGAAAGACTGAAAGCTGAAAAACCAATATATTTCAGTCGAAAAACAGGTAACTTTTGTAATAATTTAGTATTTATATTAGTCTTTTTGTTGTTTAAAATTTTTTCTCGGTTTTTGAAATGTTTTTGAAATGTAAACCAAAACAAGATAATAAGGGTGAATGAAAAATTGGACAACTGCAATTTTTTGACAATAAAATTTAATTAATTTTATCTTTTATCTATTTCATTTTATTTAGATTTTTATTGTAACAAAAAAAACAATAATATCATCTATACATACAATATCAAGGGTCCGTCTGTATCGTGGTTAAAGGTCAGAAGTTAAAGGCCAAGGCCACAAGTAAAAGGTTAAAGTTGCAGGGCATTGGAAGCTGAGGCGTGAGTCCAGTGAGAACTGATAGTGACAGCTACAACCTGAACCTCTTTAGTATGATATGTGGCGCCACCTGTGGTGTACGGTGATATCTATAATCCGAATGTCGATGGTGTGATATGTAGCGTCATCGATGAAAGATAGCGACATCCATAACTTAATCATTCTCGGTATGATATGTGACACTATCTATGACGGATAGTGACATTCATAAGTTGAATCAGCTTGTTATAATGTATGGAACCATTTTTGACATAGCGACATGCAGGGTGGTCCAAAAGTAACCTGGTAGTCTTTGATTGCAAATAATTTTTGATATAAAAAAGATAGGTAGCTGTGGCTTTCATTGTTCGAAAGATAGGATGAAGGCGCATCGGTCTGTGTAAAATGAGATAAGGGGTGCGGGTGTGGCTGTGATCTTCTCTTGACTAACACACCCACACCCTTTCTTATATTTGCTGCCACTCTTGTCTGTTGGAAATGCCGAGAAATCCTTCGCTTCTTGACCCTTGCAAGCTGTACCAAGTTCTAGAAAATTCTGGGAGTTCATGGATTCCTCAGCTGCACGACGGTGCTTAACTGCCAGAGTGGCACTGATTCCAAGGAATCCTTCGATTCCATAACTTCTCGATTATTCTTAACTGTCACAAGTGCAAGGGAATCCTTGAATTCCTTGGATTTCTTACACTTGATAGCTTTGTAACCATTCTACACTGAAAAGCGTTATGGAACCGCTGGATTTCTTAGCTTTTCCATCACGTCTAATTGTTGAAAGTGCGCGGAAATCATGAGAATTGTTGAATTTTTCACTTTTGTCACAATTCTCAACTGTGCTGAGAGCTAGGAAATCATCTGATCCCTTAGAATCTGTGAATTTCGGTCATTTTGAAGCGCTGTGAACAGCCACAAGTGCTGAGAAATCTTCAATGTTGCTTGCTTTACCACTGTTCGTTACAGTTCTAGGAGACAGAGAGTCGATCGAATTCGTATCATGCTTGTATTCATTGAAATTCTTGGTTTCGTTAACTTTCCAGTCGCTCTTGACTATCTGAAGTTCCAGGGAATCCTTGGGAGCTGTGCAATCCTTGGATTTCAAAGATTTTCTATTTTTTGGCACATATCTCAGTTTGTTCGGAATGGTGGAAATCCTTCGATTTTTTCGCCTTTCAAGCGACTTGATCAGCACCAATCGGTGGGATTCTTTGAATCCTTGGAACCATTTTATTTCATAGTTTTCTCGTGGTCTTGACCGTCACCAATGGTAGTAAATCCTTGGAATAGTTGGGTTTCGTAGCCCTTGACAGCATTGTTGACTTTTCTTATTCGAAGAAAATGTTCGAAACTCTCCTATGGTTTAAATTTGGTGCCGTGTTTCTGAATGCAGCATCTAGTGAATTGCTGCGAAGTCTTCGTCTTCAGAGTTGCTATGTTATCCATGACTCTCCAAGATACCTAGAAAAGCTTGTACTTCTGGTATTGGTCACTCCTTTCTTGATGCTGTACCGTTTCACATGTATGCGATGCCTTGAAAATGTTGAATTTTCTTGGTTCCCTATCAGCATTCGCTGACCTTAATGCATGTAGAGGCGTGGAAGGGTGTAGCTGTCTTCTTCATGTACAGCCACATTCACACCCTCACATATCTACATCCATACCCCCATATCCACACCCACACCATTCTTATACTCAAGTTGTGATCTCTACTTTTATCGATTAGATAGACTTTATTCAAAATTAATTATAATGAGCTAGAAAATGAATCAAATCAGGAAAAAAATGGATGTGTCTACTGTCGATCTTAAAATTCTTCTGTTGATGGTTTCAATTCTTGTTTACTTTTCTATTCGTTCGAGCGCTTTTTGTACTCTTTCATACATGCTGTTCATTTTATCAAGTGCTGCTGTGCTGGCATCTGCAGCTCGCTTAGCCTGTTTCTCCGCTTCTCTAGCCTCCGCCGCTGCTCTTTCGCTTTGTTGTCGTACCTCCTTAGCTTCTGCTATTGTCTTTAGAGTTTCTTTCTTTTGAACCTCGAGTTGGTTTTTCGCCAAATGTTGAACATCTTGTGTGGTTGCTATTAATTCTCGACCAATTCGTGTTGATTCTTCAGCATTTGCAGCCGATTCATTAACTGCTTTTCGTGCACGTTCAAAGTCAAGCTCGATTTTTGCACGCATATCCGAGATTGTTTGTTCACAGAATTCTTTTTGTGCAGCAGCTTCTTGCTTGAATGTAGTCTCACAAGTCTTGAGTGTCGATTGGAATTCTAGACTTCGTTGTTCTGCCCATTGTACAATCTTTTGAGTAGAGGCTGCAGCTTCTGTTGCTTTCTGTACCGATCTTTGACTAGTTTCAATTGCTTGATTTGCTTGTGCAACTGCTTGGATTGACTGAGTCTTCGCTGATTCGGCAATTTTCAGGATTTCTTGGGTTTTCTCTTGTATTTGTTTTTCAATATTGTTCATAAGCTTCGCAATGAGTTGTTCTAAACGCTTTTCGGTATCTCGAAATTGTTCGTTCAATTTATTCCATGCTTCATCATAACGTTTTTCATTATCTGTTTTCATTGTTTCTCGATTTGTTTTCGATTCTTGTTTTATTTGCTCATGAGCAGCATCGATCGACGTCTGATAAAAGCATGCTTTTTCTTGAACTTCTTCACGTAAAACATCGACACTTAGTTCGATTGTTTCTCGTGCTTTTCTCAATTCCTCTTTCACATCCTTTGAGTCGAGAAAGATCTTCTTTTCACGAAGCACTTCAGCTATTTGATTAGCTGTTTCTTTTGTAATCAATGATTTACCATCATGCTGATCATTTTGACTGGCATAAGTTTGTGCATACTCAATAATATCTGCGAATCTCGTTAAAATATTTCCATGTTTATCTCGTTTAGCTAAGTCTAACTTTCGTCCTTCGACAATCGATTGAAATGCTTTGTCATCCGATGAAAACGGTGCAACGTAGACATAGCCGAATACTTCCAAATCTTCTAGTTCATTGTCACAGGCTTTTGTTGGTGTGGGATATTGATAAATACTACCGTCGCTACCAATAACCGAAACGCAACCAATTAGATAGCGTAATTGTACTTGTTTTCTAATTTCATCTCCAAAATAATTCCTCACCTTCAACGGAATTCTCTGTTGTCCGGCCGAAATTCCAACAACATCCGTTATTTTGGTCATTTTTCTCTGATCAGTGGGATCATTCTTAGCTACGTGTAACCAAAGTTGTTGTGGCAATGGTTCAGTGGGAATGATCTTATCCATGCCTGCTTTGAGTCCATCAATTATCCAAGCGGTGACATATTCAGCAACCATAACAACAGCGATTTCTTCAGAACTTTCTGGTCGAACATCATAGACTTGTTTCAACCAATGCATCTTGTCGTTGAATACATTACTACCCTTGATCTTTTGCAATGGATCAATGGACTGAATTTGTTCTCTGTAGTAGAGTGTTACAAGACCAGCTGTGTCCGATGAAATACGCCGGAGTTCCTCGACATTGCCCAACGTTGAAATATTGTACCATTCTTTCTTCTGTTCTTTTTCGTTAAGTTTGGATAGCACAGGACCAAGTACTGCTTTTATGCTCGCTGATGCCACATTTACTAGACGACAAAGAAAATCTCTTTTAGTTCATTCTTCTATTGTACTGTTTCACTAAAACGTCTCAGATCGCTACAGAATGACAATAAAGCTCAACCTATACAAAGATTCGCCTTGAGCATATTAAGAGAGGCTAACTCTAATTAAAGCGTCCAGAAAGTATGGTTTGAGATTAATGAGACTTGGGTAGTGTCAAGATGATCATATTAACGTACAGATTTCGTGAATGTCTCTAACTGGGTCACGATTATTACTCATCTGCATTGATCGATTTAAGATTTTGTTATTTATAATGATTCTTTCGTGTAAAACTTTTAGCAGTCTTGTACAGATCCATGAACGTAAACTTGTTGAAATATCAATAGTGATGTTTGTGAATGAAATCAAATAAAGTTAACTATCTTACTAATTAACCTTACTTACATATAGGAATTTTCGTTGGCAGCATATTGACTATTGTTCCTGTCACACTAGATTTCATAGTTGTTTCCGTTTTCAAATAGCCACCTTGTGCGGCTAGAGCACTGAGAAACAAAGCGTCCAACTGATTCTCTATAATTCGATAGAACATTATCAAATTTGTGTTGGCTTTGATGAAATCGATCGTTTTTTGTCTAATCAATGTAGCTTCTTGTTGACGTTGAAATAAAAATATTGAACATTCATAAGTAGCTAATTGTTGCGCATAAACTTCTTTCTCCTTGGTGAGTTCTTTCCGTTGTAAAGCTGTGAGACGCTGTTGTTTGAAAAGGCGTTCATCAGTATCTTGAATACGAGCTTCTAAAGAGTTTTTACTTTCCAGCAGTTGCTGTAATTGTTCATTAATTTTTGTTAACCGTTCCTTTGTATTAGTCTCATCTTGATTAATTAGCTTCTTCACATCTTGTTCACTAGTGACTCGTTGTAATTCTTGCGAACGTTTTGCTACATTCGCCGTCAAATCAGAGAAAAGGTCTCTGTATGTATTGGGATCGGCAGGATCGAGCACAACTGGACTATCGGCAATAATACCGCTAAGTGCACTCAAAAATCCCAGCAAGATTCTCTTATAATGTTCACCCAATATAACGGAACTGCCTATTCCCATATCCGATGCTAGTTGAGTTCTCAGTTTCGTATTGTAATAAGGTTCGAGAATGTCTACAATTTGAAATTGTTTGGCCGTTTTTGCTACTTGAATCAATTCATAGCATAAGCGTCTCTTCTCCTCTTTTGATTCGTAACGTTCGTCGATAAACTCCTGAATAATTTTGACATGACCATTACAAGCTGCTTGTGCAAGTGTTTCATAATCGTACTTAGGTTTATTATTGTTTTCGTCTGGATGTTTTGAAGATTGCGGTACAGCTTTGCCAGTTTCAATTAGCTCAGCTATACGTGCAAATTTGAGTTTTTGTGCAATTTGCAAAGCAGTCAGACCAGCTTTGTTTGTTTGTCTTTTTGTAGCCGGATATTTTGTTACAAAAAGTTCTACCATAGCATAGTCACCTAAAATAATAGACAATGAAACGGACTTTATTCAAGAAATAATGAAGAATGAGGTTTTTCGGATGTTAATGAAAATTCGAGATGTCAAAAACCGATTTTTCAACTGATGAATGTTGCCTTTTGTGCGAACAGGAATAGTGATCAATATTTAATGATAACTCACGAATGGATCTACACGTTCATTCATTGGTCTGTTCCAAATGTTTCAAAATAGATAACCATTGTAAACAATAATAAGATGCTTCGTTTATAGCACCAGACATTACTCATAGCCATAGCACCTTTTTTTCTTAGGGAATTTCTCGATAGCAAGCTACCTAGTCATCATTTTGTGGGACTCATTATAAAAGGATAGTGCATACAAGTTTCTATCCAAAAATTTTCTGCTGCCGCCCCCTCCCTCTCTCTTGCATGTGCTGCCACTAGAAAGTAGACTGCCTAATCACAGTTACTGTCTCGTATTTTATAACAGAAAAAGAAAAGAATAAATTCATGAAATACACTTTTCTCGTTTAGCGCATTGAATGTTTTGTTTTCGTAATCTTAGATTGGTTCTCTGCTATAGGTTTTCGAATCAGAATAATGTTTTTTTTTGGGAGTATGATATTATGGATTTCTAACGATAGAATTTCGGATTTTTAGACCTTGCGATTCGAATTTTCAAGCCTCAGACCGCTGAAATTATGAGATTTTTGGACTTTTTACTCGATTTGAGTTCTGGAAACCAAAAACCTTTTCCTCTCTTTCGTGATGCAATATTTGTTCACGTGGTTTTCTGATGGGGATTCCACATTTTAGTTCCGTTGGAGCTGTGTCGAAAAGCTTTTTATTTTCTTCCATTAGAGTAGATGATCAGCTACTACTTACGTGTGAACATATACTAGTGTTCCCTTAAAGAAACGTTTAAAACCATTCTATTCGATAGAGATCTTGATGAATACCTCTAATATCAATGTCTTAGCTGCCCTTGTTTACGTCAACCAAAATGAGAGAATCAATTTTTTTCATTTTTCTGTTCTTTTCTAATATTATAACTGTATCGTTTTCTTACTTGTATAAGCTTTGCAAGAATGATCAATTTTTTCATAGAAGGACTGTCGAAAATGAATAAGATTCAGCATGAACAGGAGGTTTTTTTTCACGAATCACATTGTCACATCTATATTTCCTAGCTACGAAGCAAGAATAATTATTTGTAGGTAGAGATGTAAGCCGACGAGTCGATCAGCGGCGACAGATTCTATTCTTCAGATTCTTCAGCGGCAGAGGCTGTACAAATTTAAGTTATTTTATGCTCATGGAGGAGCAACTTACAGTCTTTACCGATACGGTGATGGCTGGAAATTTTGACATTAGCAATGTTTCAAATAATAAGAAATATCTGATTATTTCAACATCTGGCTTTTAATAATTACTAAAGAACTTAATGAAATCACTGCATTTCGCACGGTAGCTTAAGCAATACATTATATTTAAGCAATAGGAAGATGAGTAATGAATTACAAAACAATTTTGTCCAAAATTACGGAATCCGGTGGCCCTAAGGGTGTACATGCTTAATTGACATATATCAAGATGCGAAAAAACTTGCCCATTTTAGTTTTTAATGGTATAGACTGAAAGAAAATCTCTACAAAACATTAATTTTGTTTCATGTGCTAGCTTTTGTTGCATAGCGATTTCGAGAAAACCAGAACGGAATATGCTAATTTGTCGTTTTGGTTTGCTGAGTTTCTACCACTCGATGCATTTCCACTAAGCAATTTATCATATTTACTGTGCCTTATGTAACACTGTAAATACTAATTCTTTTTCGGTTGAGGATGAAATGTCATCTATTTACTCAAATTTTAATTCGCGGAAGCTAGATTTTCAGTAAATACATTGAACGTTTTATGTTTCATTTTCTCTTCGGGATGTGGGCGTGGTTTGTTGAATTCCCGCATCATGCCCATACCCACAGCTACAAGGTATAGCGCGGTTTACGAACCACTTTGTCGGACGCGGGATGATATAGATGTTTCTGGTAACCATTTTTCATTAAAAGTAGCAAAAAGTCTTGGAAAACACATTCATGATACCATTCTTTGTGACAGATAAATATCTCTTTGATATCAAATTGTACTTCTTCTCGATAGCTCTTCTATGAAAAAAACTGATCATTCTTGCAAAGCCTATACACATGAAAAGACGGTACAGCTATAAAATCTGGAAGGAGAAAAATGAAAAATTTTGATTCTCTCATTTTTTTGACATAAACAAGGGCAGCTAAGACATTGACATTCGAGGTATTCATCAAGGTCTCCATTGAATAGAATAGTTTTAAAGGTTTTCTGAAGGGGGCACTCGTATATGTTTCCTCGTTAATCATGATTATGTCACATGTACACCTTATCACTTGTTTCTTTGAAAGCGAAGTCCCCGCTCCCATTACCTTTCTCAGTCGCTTGAATTATTGGATAATCGCCATTGATATCACAAATTGTCGGAGTACTACCACATTCACATAACCAAGTTACAAGATCGACACTATGATATTGCACAGCATAATGTAATGCCGTACGCTTTTGTTCATCTTGGTAGTTGAATTCAGCGCCTAGCTGTGCAAATTTTTCCGCACTTCCTCGATCATTGTTGAGAATCGCGGACATAAATTGTATATTCAGTTCGTGGGATAGATAGCTGGTGATCTTTTTATAGTTTCGCGTTTTGGCGATATCGATCAGGGACATCGGTTCATCATCATTCGAATGTAACATTGATGCACCACACGAAACGAGCGCATGAACGATTCGAAAATAATTTCCATGTTGAATTGTGCATAACAGTGCAGTTGAACCATGACAATTGGTTGAATTAATGTCAGCACCCAGGTGTTGACATTGAATCACGCTTTTGAAATCACCACTGGCAGCTGCAAGTCGTAATCGCCGATTGATTAGAGACTGATTAATACAAAGAGCGATCTCGGGTTTCAGCTGTTTCGAAAAAGTTGATTTTAGCTGCATAGTTTTTTCAGAAAGCCACTCTGATGGCATTTTTGCTCCATTCTGGCAGAGAAACTGAATCAAGTCGGCGTTTTGATGTTGCAATGCTTCATCTAGATTATTCGTATTTTGCATATCGACACTGGCTCCACTACACACTAGTTTCTTGACCATCTCAAAATTGTTTTCTTTCACGGCTTTTGTGCATTCAAGTGACAATCGATATTTGAGATACGTAGCAACTTTGCTGAATTTTTTCTTTTTTGCAATTCGATATGGACAGTTAGATGACGAATCATTGATCATAACTTGATAAATATCCATACTTTGGTTAATCAGATAATCGACAATTTCGACATTGTCTGATACACTGCAAGCTCTGTATAATAACTTATCAGTAAGTGGTGCCCCTGCTAGATGATAGGCCACGACAAGGCCTGCATTCGACTGGTCAATAGCTTCGACTACTTTTGTTTGCGCGATCTGTCGAATCATATCTGCAATTTGTTGACAACCGTCTGCCATCGTTTGAATACGTGGACGATCTGCTAAACTAAGCATTGGAGAACTCAGCTTAATGCTATATTCCTTCATGGATATTTGTGCCACTTCGTATGGAGTACGATTTCCCTTTCGATGACGAATATCAGCTCCTTGACCAATGGCTTGTTTAGCCATCCAGAGGGCTCCGGTTTTAGCGGCATCGTGCAAATTATTGTTGGGACTTCCGAACAAAAAGCCTTTAATTTGTTTTTTCAAAGCTTCATCAGTATCTTCAGTACTTATTTGAATATCACTGATGACCACTGGCGTCCCTAGTTCGCACGTGTCAATGTCAGAACTGGATTTTATTGCTTTCGATGATTGTTGGCCTAGATCATCCACCGGTGGACAAATCAGTTGTTCGAGAAATTGAATCAATTTTTTATCACTCATTTCTTCTTCTTTAGTTTTGGATGCATTTGCACGTGCTATATCTAGTGGAGTTTGTTTTGAGTTGTTTTGGGCTTGATGATCGGCACCCCACTTTACAAGATATCGGACAACAAGTAAATGGTGATTTTTCGTCGCTAAATGCAGAACTGTTTGCTGGTCTTTGTTGACTACGTTCACACTTGATTTTGGCAAGCTGTGCAAATATTCAACAATCGGCAGATGGCCATACTCAGCGGCAATAGAAATGGGATAGTCACCATTATGATTCTGTAAGGTAAAATCAGCTCCCAAATGTTTGATAATATATTGAACGACTTGTTTTGTGCTTGTTTTGCATGCTAAATGTAGAACTGTCCACCATTTATATTCTTTGTCTTCATGTTGATGATTAATCTGAGCACCGCATCCGATCAACTGGCTGAATTCTTTCATAATAGTTTCGTTGTTATCCTCTTTGGTGTTAGTGCGCGCCATACAGTTCCACAAACGAATATTTAATTCATCTCGAATTATTTTTGCTGCTCCAACACGTTGTTCATCAATGGCGAACTGTAGAAGAGTTTTGTTCAACCTCGGATTATGAAATAAGTCTAGGGTCACTTTTGGCAACTTGAAAAGTGTCAGCAAATAAACAAATGGATCTTCGTCTAGCAGAATGCATGTCTCGATAGGTCGATGCCCGTTTGTATTCATTGCTGATAAATCAGCATTGAAATCATTCACGAAAGCAGCCACCATTTCTGGCTTACCTTTATTAGATATCAATAGATGAAGAGGTGAATCTTTATTGGTAAAGGTTGCATTGATATTGGCTCCATTTGCGAGCACAGTATGGACCTCGTCGATAGTCAATTGTGATTTTTTTATTTCAATTAGACGCTTTAGTTCAACATTCACTCCTTGCGCTTCTAGAACGGCGATTAATTGAGGATTTTTTGGTGTAGCTTTCTTCGCAATTTGTAAAGGTGTGAGACGATCGCCATTTTCATGTGCAATATTGCTGCCAGCTGACACAAGAGCATCGGCAAGTGCTAAATTATTGGTAATAACAGCGTTGGAAAGAGCAGTATTGCGTTTCTCGTCGATCGCTTCAATGTCAGCACCTCGACGAATCCAAGTGATTACTTCGTTTGGATCGATTTGAGGCTGAGTAATTGGAATCTGATTGAGAATACCATCCAACTGTCGTTGAATATAATGAGTAACATCTCGTGGGCATTTCGGATTTTTTTTTGCACGAGACAAGCATGTTTGTGCTTCAGTATCAGCGGTGGTCAAACTAAATTTCGTGTTTGGATCGCTCTCGATCAGAAACTGAACGACATCCAATCGAATGATGTTATTCATATATCACTTTATCGACTTTATAGGTAGTTAACGTTCCGTCCCTCCCGTTTCCCCGAGAATAAGCAGTCTTAACCCTGAATCGAACCATTCTCATATTAATTATCTATTCATCAGAAGAAATTATCTATAACGGATCAGGCATTTAGCAAATGTTCATTGACGAAATTAGGGTGCAACGGTGACGATAGCCGTAGGTACGGTTATCGTTTTGGACTGGTGAAACAGTGACAGTAGACCGCTGAATAATCGTCACCACTGAATCTCTCAACGAAATCAAGGATATATTCAGTGACAGAAGCGCCAATTCAAGGTTAGTAAGACGAATCCCAGTTTCGAAATCAGAACAAAGTCTTCAGAAAGCACAAGAATATCAGTCCTGAATACTTCTTAAAGCTGACAAACTAGAAAAAGAAAAACGTCTTAATCTTTTGATTGCCAACTTAGTTATGGTCAGCACCGGCATTTTTTCCCATTATCATAAGAGACAACGTAACAGTTTGAGATGAAGGGAACATGACCCATTACTAGGTTATATTCAGAACTGAGCTAAAACCGCAAACGTTCATTTGTAATATTGGGTACAAGTCTTCCGTATATGTGCTCTTCGAACGAATACTTCATATTTGTTTTAGTTAGCTGATACTGCTCTTAGGTCGATCTAGTGAAAAGTTTCTTGTCAAGCCATCTATGAAATTACTATTTGCTTCTGAATGATTACGTAATCTTTAGGTGTCCTCCGCTCCGTATTAATCAAGGATAATAATTTATCAACTTCTACTCTCTTCCAAAGTTGATTGCATAATTTTCGTATGAACCCAATAGGAACCTTGTCTTGTTTCAACAATGCGCCCAACAACCCCAATGATCCATATGTTGTTGACTGATAACAACTGGCATGTAAATGCACCAATGTATAGAGGG